AACCCAACAGTACGACCGTGATGAAAAAAATTAGCTCTGGAAACTAATTGGATAATTATATCCAAGGCAAAGCAAAAAGCGAAAAGCTGAAGCGCCTCCAGTGTGGAATTAGTAAGAATCAACCTCTCAAATAGATCTGAGCAGGCAATACCTAATCAAAAATTTCGAAATCAGGCAACATCTATTATTATTTTTGAATTCTATGGAATATTTCGCTATAGAAGATATAAGACTCGTCTTTGAAAAACAAAATTTGTAATTATGTTTAAACTAGTGTTATCATGACGTCTGTAGTCGCGTTAAAATAATAGCCAAAAGTGCTTTCTCAGTTAAACTTTAAAACAAAAATGTATACAAAATAAAAATGTATACAAATGTATAGAAAAAAATTTACATCATACGTGTAGTTCAAAGTTGATCATTTCCGACCTAATAGAGCAAGGATTCAACATATTAAACGTGGTTAACAAATTAAAATGAAAAACCCGTGAGCCCCTAAATATGTCAATAGAAAACATAAAATAATTGTTTGAAATTAAATATATTTTACACTCTGTTGTCATTATTAAGGCTATTAAAAGCCCTATACTTCTTCCTAAATGGAATAATTGTCAAGCATTTGGACACACCAAAAATATCTATGGTAAAGCACCTATATGTACATTATTCGAAGTTTTTAAAAATTCGAAGTTCTTCGAATATTCGCATTTCAACGAAGTCTTCGAAGTTGAAAAAAACTTCGAAGTTTTTGTGAATTTTTGTTCTCGAAGTCTTCGAAGTTTAAGTGTAGTGAAAAACTTCGAAGACTTCGAAGACTTCGTAAGCAAAAGGTGAAGTGAGAGCGTAAAATGCAAACAAACGTGCATCACACAAATTATTTGAGGGATGATAGCATTTGCTTCGTTTGTACGGTTTTATGTTTTTTTTTTGGTATTCTATGCAAAAAATTAAAAACATGTTTTTTTGTTTTATTTTATTACATAAAATTTATTTTATTATTAAATATGTATTATAATATATATTAATATTAAATATGTTATTATTAAATATTATTTATATTAAATAAAAAATTTACATTTTAAATAACTTATATATATTATTTATATTTAAAAAATCATATTTGAGAAAATTTTTAATATAATATAAAATACATGAAAATTTGATGAAATTGATATATTGTTTTTGTTATTTTATTTATAATGGAAATTTAAATTAATTTTCAAATTAAAACTTTTAAAATTAGTTATGAAAAAAAACAAATTACATTAAAAATTAATCATTAGACAGAAATGCTTTATTGTGATATACAAAAAGATTTGCTTCCACATTTACTGGGGCAAGACAACTGCGATGAGGAGTTACAATATTTCCTGCCGTTGAAAATACTCTTTCTGATGCTACAGATGTTGCAGGTATGCTGAGGTATTTTTTAGCCAACTGTGCCATTATAGGAAACTGTTTTTCATGGGCTTTTCACCAGTCAAAAGGATCCAAATTGACATTGATTTCTGGTTGAATTGTTGCGAATTCGTGGTGGGATGTGTAGTTAAATTTTTATTAAATAAAAAATCTAATGCACTTGACGATGGCGCTTCTACATTTAAATTGTTCTCTATTCTAAATATAGTCTTTACTTCATCGTGAATGGCTTCCCGGATGGCACTTCTTTGTGTAACAGTTTCAGGTAGTAGGTCCTTGTGCCGCGGATCTAAGAATGATGCTTTTTAAGATATCAGCACCGTAGCAGAATTAAGATGAAATCTTTTAATTAAGTCTTCTGCTAATTTGTTGGAAAATTCTGGCCATTTCTTTCATTTTTTAAATGATTTTCTATTATTGCTCTTATAATTGGACGCACCATCGATTCTGAAGCACCACTGGATAGCACAGTTGTCGCAATATCTAATGGTTTCAGAATTGGTATTACTTTTTCAAAAAGATTCCAATCTTCTTCGCGCATTTGTAAGAGTTGTGCTTAGTTTGGAGTTTTAACGGATCTGTCATCAATTACGGCAGTAATGGCAGTGCGATTTTCGATTAATCGTTCAATCATTTGGAGATCTGCATTCCACCTGGTTCTAATGCTTTGAATCAGTTTTCGTTTGGGGAGTTATGCATTAATGAGCAAAACTCATTTTTTCATAACTAATTTTCAAGGTTTTAATTTGTGATTTTCTTTTTTAATGGAAAATGAAAATTTTTTAAAATTTCCTTTACTAATAAAATCCATCAATATCAATTTTTGCATATTATTCCGTATATATTTTATATTATATTAAAAATTTTCTCAAATATGATTTTTTAAATATAAATAATAAATATAAGTTATTTAAAATGTAAATTTTTTATTTAATATAAATAATATTTAATAATAACATATTTAATATTAATATAAATTATAATACATATTTAATAATAAAATAAATTTAATGTAATAAAATAAAACAAAAAAACATGTTTTTAATTTTCTGCATAGAATAACAAAAAAAAACATAAAACCGTACAAACAAAGCAAATGCTTCCATCCCTCAAATAATTTGTGTGATGCACGTTTGTTTGCATTTTACGCTCTCACTTCACCTTTTGCTTATGAAGTCTTCGAAGTCTTCGAAGTTTTTCACTACACTTAAACTCCGAAGACTTCGAGAACAAAAATTCACAAAAACTTCGAAGTTTTTTTCAACTTCGAAGACTTCGTTTACTATTCGAATATTCGAATTCTTCGAATACTTCGTAAATTCGAATATGAACAGCACTAATATGTACTAAATGCTGTAAAAAGCATAAAACCATTAAATGTAATGAACCAAGAAATGAAAAACCTGAATGCTGCAATTGTGACAATAACCACTCAGCAAATGACAGGGGATGCGTTGTGGCAAAAGAACTACAAAATATTCGCGATAAGCAAAAGAAAGATTCTAACCAACATATAACAACTAATAGCTTGCGTACTGTCAATAAAATCGAAAATAGCAATAATATTAAGCGCATATCTAATAAACCGCATTTTTTTGATGTTTTAAAAAGTAGTGGAAGAGGCAACAATAGTCAACACATCCATAAGTACGAGGACCTGCTAACTAAAATACTTAAAATGTTAACCGAACATGATTCTTTCAATAAAAACCTCCAAAAGTGACTAGATAACCTTAAACAAAAACTAGCTATTCGATCATGAGTAGTACTTCTATTCGATTTCAGTTTATGAAATGGATTTCGAATGTATTGTCAAAACACAAAAAAGAACTAGAAATGTTATTGCACTTATAACATACAAACATATATATAGATGTTTGCTTAATCTCTAAAACACATTTCACGAAACAAAGCTATACCATATGTCGATCAAAAATTACATTGTTTCTCACACCATTCATCCTATCAATTGTGCAAAGGGAGGTTCTGCAATTATTATTAAAGAAAATACAGATCATTATGAATAAATAACTGTTTAAATTAAAACAATAAATCAAATATTGTCAATTACCGCTATTTATTGTCCGCCGAAAAACACAAAAACATCGAATGAGTAAAAAGATATTAATTTGTTCAGGGTGAATGAACAAATTAATAAATGTCAAACTTTGTAAATAGCTAAATAAATGATTATTTAACAGACAAATAAACAAAATAAAACCAGAAACCGCGTATATTCCGTAAATTCCTTTTGAAACTTGGGACAACGAACTAGGATAACCGCTTTGCTCACCCCAGCAAATAAACGACAGGAAGAGGGTCGTTACACCCGGACCATTCTCTTATATGAGCGAACTATGACCTAATCAATGATTGAAAAAGAAGATAAATTCACTCTTTATAATAAATACACCGAATGGCTATCATTCAAATTTGAACTTGAATACGAAATTAATGCTTCAAAATCAGTTTGAACTATTCAGAGGGAAGACTTGCAGTTCACCAAGATCTTAAAAAAATAAAGCCCATAAAATGTTAAGGCGCATGTGCGGGATAGAAACAAAGCAGATGGGAGGCACTTTCATCGTCCTCACCATTACTGTGGCAGGTAGGGTTGAGAGGAAGATTTAGTCTCCTAGCATGGTTACCTAAAATACAAAACGGGCCACCTTTAATTATACAGCAAAACTTATGCCAAAATCAAAAGGCATCAACCACTCTAAAGGAATAATTATTCTAACAACTAAAAAAGAAAATTACTTTGCATATGGCAGCATACGCATTCTCGTTGATAACATCAAACTTAATAAAGCATGCAAAGAACTAAAGAGAGAAATTAGCTTAATTAGCTAATGTGGTAATGCACTCTCTTAACCTTTCTTTGCTTAATGCAAAATTTCCAAGACCAATTTTTTGCAATCTTGTTCTTGTAATTATTTTTACTGCCCGTAGTTACTAAAGTCCAGCACTTCCTTTGGTTTCAAGTAATCATTGAAGAAATCATTAGGTGTATTCAGGCAAGAGATTAGTTGCTTAGTAGATTAAAAACCTTATATAAAAAAAATTAGCATTTTGATGATAATCTGTAGCATGACCGACCCAAAATGCGCAATTTGATTATTTTGTTGTATGCAAATTGCTTGGCAGCACTCGTATCAACAACAAAGTCGAAACATATGTTTACAGTGAAATACTCAAATATTCGTAAAATTTAATATCATTTAAAATTATCATATAATTCATCATATTACTAAAATTGCAAACGTGTCATATATATTAAGAAGTAGAATATTCAATTTTATACATTTTAATTATATTTTATCCCTTTAAAAATTATAGTTTTACTGAATTTTATTTATTAATTTATAATATTCTTTTTGAATTTTCTTGCTAATGTAAACGACAAAAAGCTCAATGTTACTAAGTAACTTACTATGTAAACAGTGGAAACGTAGTATAAATGAGACAGTGTGAATGTACTATTAGTATGAAACTGGTCTAATTATAGAAAAACTTTTATCAAATGTATTTCATATCTCTAAAATGCAACTGTGTCAATCCGCACTGAACGTGAATGAATTGTATTGATTTTTGATAAAGAAATAAAACAAAGATTTTTTGGGTGGGGGAATGTGTATGTCCGAAAAATTCGTAATATTTATATGTGATTTGTATAAAGATTAAGTAAATTTGGGTAAAAAGTATATTCAAAGCTTTACACTTTAATATGGAAGTATTTAATAAATTTTATTCAACTGTCAGTACAGTAACTTCGCAGCTCTCTGGTGTGACAAATTATTTGCCTGGGAATAATGTTACACGCGAATATGAAATACTCGATCAAGTATGTACAGCAGGAATAGGTATGTTACCGAAAACATAACAGAACAACATAATGTATTTCATTTTTCAATCAATACAGGTCTTATGTGGAAAGTATACAACGGTTACAAAAAGAGCACAAAACAAGAGGTATCAGTTTTTGTTTTCGAAAAGAAATCACTTGAAAGATTATCAAGAGAAGATCGGGAAATTGTGCTTGAAACACTTCGCCGTGGTGTGCAGCAACTTACAAAAATAAGACATCCCCACGTCCTAACTGTGCAGCATCCGCTTGAAGAAAGTAGGGACTGTTTGGCATTTGCGACTGAACCAGTGTTTTCATCAATATCTAATATAATTGGTGATAATATTCGTCCAGAAAATAAACTTTATGATGTCGAAATCAGACACGGATTACTACAGCTATTTGATAGTTTAATGTTTTTGCATGACGATGCAAAGATAATCCACCGTAACGTATGCCCTGAGTCTATTATAATTAATAAAAATCGAAATTGGAAATTGTTTGGTTTTGATTTTTGTATACATCACAATACAACAAGCGATGGCAAAAGCCAATGGCCTTGTCGCGAGTATTCCACAAATATCCATGCATTTGCTCAACCAAATTTAGAATATACTGCACCAGAAGTGGCTTTAAATAATATCAACACTCCAGAGAGTGATTTATTCTCCCTTGGTATGTTATATTAATTAGTATAAAAAATTTGTTCAAATAATGTCTTCTATTAAAATTATATCATATTTATTTTTAAAAATGTGTTATTTTTAAAATAATATGTGTAGGTGTGCTAATTTTCGCTATATATTCTGGTAAACCTTTAAAAATGTTTGGTAACGATTATAGTTCGTTTCGACGCTACGCAGCGGAACTAAACCAGCGAAAATATCCACCAATGAATATTGTGCCAAATGACATTACTGATAGCTTAAAAGCACTTCTACATCCTAGTCCTAGTTTGAGACCAAAATTACATGAACTTAAACAGGTATATAGTATAGTATTTAATGTATAGAATATTAAAAGCCATACAATTTTTTTATTATAGATAAATTACTTTCAAGATGTTGGAGTTAAAACGCTTAGCTATCTTGATTCCTTATATCAATGGGATAATTTACAAAAATCCAAATTTTACAAGGGTTTGCCCCAAATTATACAAAATCTTCCGCATCGTGTTAACTTACATTCCATTTTGCCACATCTTGTTAAAGAATTTATAAACTCTCCAATGATTCCCTTTGTTTTGCCTAATGTACTGCTCATAGCTGAAATGAGTACGCAAAAAGAATATGGCACTCATATACTACCTCACCTTAAACCAATTTTTAAACTAACTGATCCTATTCAGATTTTATTGATTTTTATGCAAAAAATGGACTTGTTATTGAAACTTACATCGGCTGAAGAAGTTAAATTACATGTTCTACCATTACTATATCGCTCATTAGAATGCGATATGCCACAGATTCAAGAATTATGTCTATCGGTACTACCAACATTTTCAACTTTAATTGATTATAATGCCATGAAGAATGCAGTAATACCTCGCATAAAAAAGCTTTGTCTATGCAGCACAAATATATCAATAAAAGTTAATTGCTTAGTATCAATTGGAAAGCTATTAGAAAACTTAGATAAATGGCTAGTATTGGATGAAATTTTGCCATTTTTGCAACAAATACAAAGTCGAGAACCTGCAGTAATTATGGCTATAATAGGTTGCATCAAAAATTATGACACTTAGTTTTTCATAGACTAATCTCTTTTTTTGTTTGTCGTAGGCATATACAAAATTGCGATGACTAATACAAAGCTTGGAATAACTAAAGATGTAATGGCCCATAAGTGCATACCATTTCTTATGCCGCTATGTGTAGAAAATGGCTTAACAGTTGCACAATTTAATACCATAGTTCTACTTATCAAAGAAATGTTCAACCGCGTTGAAAAAGAACAGCGTGAAAAATTGGAACAATTATCAACAATTCAAAGGGACAACAGGTTTGCACATTGTCGTTATCAATTAAATATTATAAAATAATTAATTCGTTTATTTATTTTTGTTTTAATTTTTGAGTCGTTACTTCAAAATTGTTTAAATGCGGTTATTTTTGTTTTTTAAAATATACTAACTTTTAAGTTAGTATATTTTAAAAAACAAAAATAACCGCATTTAATTCGTTTAATTTCAGACCTAAAGATGCTTCAGAAATATTAACATCCGAATTAGAAAAATCAAATTTAACAATTTCAAACTCTGATGATGACGATATGTTTTCTGAGTTTTCGATGTCAAAAGCAAATAAACCCACAACATTGCAAAATCAAAAGGAAGCTAAAGGAAAAACGATGTCATCCTCAAATGACGTACTGAAGTAATTAACGTAATAATACATTTATTAATTTTTATTAATGACTTTTTTACGCAGAATATCACATGATAACTGTTTTAAACCTGATATCTTATCATCACTAATGAACTCAAATCTGACTTGTTTAAATAATTCTACTGAAAATAAAGTCGGTTTCTCAAATGTCACTCGGTACAACAATATTTCAAGTCCTTCTACTAATGTCGGTACGTTGACTCGCAATTGGCAAAGTACGAATCCATTAGTAATGAATGATTTATTACCATCGCCATCAACGCAAAAAAAAACCAATAATAATATTTCATCATTAGATGATTTTGATCCCTTCAGCAACAATGTAGGCCCAAGTGCAAATACGTATACTTTACAAAAACCAACTGTTAATTATATATATCCATCAAATTATAAATCAAATGCAAATAATAGTATTAATTCTACAAATGTGGGTCTCACTACTTGGAACAAAACACCTGCATTAAGTCCTCAATCAACGCAGCAAATACAAGACAATAGAAATTTAAATGTACTATCACAGCAAGACATACTAAATTTTTTGAACTAACATAAATCAATGTAAAATAAAATGGTTTTATTTTTTAAATAATCGTCTACTTCTAATGAAATACATTTATGTTGTGTTTAAACTTTCTGTATTTTATTTTCTTAATCAATATTTTCATATTATACCATAAAAGAAATTAAATATATTATTTTCAACTTTTTCAAATATTTCGGAATGAAAAATAATGACCTTAAATATGAACACTTCAGATTGAACATATCTGCTCTATGGCAATACTTAAAAGTTATGAGCAACGTTCGAATGACGTTCTTCTAAGTGATATCTCCTGAGTCAATCATGATGATAACTGTTTAATAATTTAATATATTTACATTAAGATATTGCATGTAGTGTAGTGTAACTTTTTATAGCAAATATTAAGGTTAAAAGTAGAAGACAGTGAGTGGAATCGTTTATATTAAACGTAACACATAAACATGTATTAATTTTTCTTATCAATTAATGTCTCTCAAAGTATTGGAGATGTATAAACACAAGTAACGCTGCAGTAATTGGCATTAGCATATTATTGTATGCGCTAAGAAACATCTCTCCCGTACGGTAACAACTGTCACCTACAAACACGTACATTTTCAATAAATGCCCAATCTCATGTCGCCAATATGTTATTATGTTCCAACACGCGCACCAACTTGAACTTCTTTCGATTTATTACTCCGTCCGATAAAAGTAACGATGTTGTTTTACCTTGACTCGGCCAAATCATAATTAGCAGTTCATATTCATTTCTTCTCAATTTTTTACACCTATTACCGTATTTTCAATATATTTTTATTACATTCAACAATATATATAACTTATCTTTTAGTACTTGCAACTTAAATAAAAATTAAACTTTGTGTAACAGTAGTCTTAAATCTCTACTAATATGTGCGTAAATAGGCTGTGAATGCGCCTTTCATTTTCTTTGAAAGTAAGGGAATTTAAGCCGTCTATATGAAAACGTAGATGTGAAGTAGTTAGAAGCTGACCACGATTTTGATTAGGTGTTTCAGGTTTATGTCGCAACATTGTGTATCCGCTATATTTGGGTTCAAATCGGCATATACTGTATTGCTTTGCTAAGATACGTTCATAGAAATCATCATCTAATAATTAAAAGTCATTATAGAGATATTAATTTCAGAAAATGTAAATTGATTACCTTCACCGCCCCAACCTTGATATAAGTTAGACATACCATTGATAATATTATACACTTCACTACGTATGGCAACAACTCCTCCAAAAAGCGATGTATACGGTAAATTAAAACGAAATTTATCTAATGCAGAGCACATATGGCGCGGTTTTTCCGTACAAGCATATAAATTCCCAGAGTTGAGAGGTAATAGATCAACGTCATGCAGGATAAGACATGGAAACTCATTTTGTACTGCAATCGTTGCTCCAATATTAAACAATTTTGCACGATTAAATGGTAATTGATCGTTCTGTTCTACTAAAAATATACGATAATGTATTCGTTGCTGCCGCAGGTAATTGTGCATATAAGTTAAAAAAATATGCAGTTGCTCCTCACGTTGGCGGTATGGCACTATAATTGCTACGCTGAACCGTGCTTTACAGTCCCGTGGATAATATTCACCACCTAATATATGATATTGTTTAACCTTTTTTGTTTGCTTGGAAAATTAGTTTACCTGGAAGAATTTCTTCGTTTCGCAAGACCTTTTCCTGATAATGTTTTAGATAAGTATATGCGTTTTCACCAACAATTGCACTATAGTCACATTCAGGCAGTTGTTGCAGTGAAATATTATTAGTCACTTGCTCAACTAACACCTCAAATATATCTTCCTCAGTTAAAAAATCGTAGTGTGATGCGAACCGCCAAGGTAGCATACAATAAATAAAAATCCAAGTACATAAACCAAACATCGCATAATCGGCTATACGGTAATTTTTACGAAAATTTTTAAAATTCATTTTACATAACTTGTAGTTCGTTGTTATAAATGGCTTTTTATCATTTTGAACAGTAATTTGAATTCCCTTTCATCTAAGAATCAGCTGATCTATAAAATTGTATTTAATAAACAGCTGTAAAATATAATGATGTAGTTTTATGAAAGTAATCGATGCACACGGATAACTATAGAAGTACGTACACATACCTACGTTCAGACAATAAAATATGTACATATGTAAGCTTGAATGGAAGATTAGCGGGGATATCCTTTATTTATGATATAATATTTTTTTTATGTATTTAAATGTTCAATACAGAATTTGTAGCGTTACCAAATATTTCCGAATTTTAGATCAATTGAAACTGCTTGGCAATATTTACTTAACTTTTTAAAAGAAAATGACGCAAACAGTGAGATAGTATAATCAGTAACAATAAAATGTATTTTTTTAATTGGAAGTTTTGCGTCTTTTTTAAAGTTGTGATCGCAGTTTGCGGTATTTCTTCACAACCATGTGAAAACATTCAAAAAAATAAAATTAAATAAATAAATAATTCAATAACTAAATTATTTTTTCATGTAGATATGAACTGTTCAGACAATGGTTTACAGAGTTGCCCCAAATATTCCTCATGTACAAAAATAGGAGTAGAACATGCATGCGTCTGCGAACAAAATTATGTCCAAAATCTGAATTGGGGTATTACAGACGATAAATTAACATCTCAGTATTGTGTTCAGAATACAAATGGAACAAAAATTTACGTTCAACAACCAGCTAAGCCTAAAGATGTAGCTTTAGGAATTTTGATGGTGTTATTTCTAGCCACATTTGCTACGGCCATTTTATATTTGCTTAAAGTTTGTAGTCCTATAACGCGAGCCAAATACTCTTATCAAAAGTTAAATCGACGTCGTCAGAACATTCAACAGCTCCAGGAATTGGATGTGATTTCATTAAAATAGAAACTTATTCCAAAGATTGTAACCAATTATCATAATAAATTGAAGGCTTTTCTATACAATTCCAATTTTATTCCATTATTCTCCTATGTTTAAATGAAAATAATAAAGTGACAGCAAAGAATAATTATATTTAGTATTTATTATGTCAATTCATCTGTATGTATATTGAAAATAATTTCATTTACAAATCAGTTTGAAATATGAATCCACAAAAAAATGTATTTACATATTTTAAATTTGCTTGATTGATTCGTTCTAATTAAAACAACCTGAAGAAAAAAGTAACTTATAGTCATATAAAATATGTCTACATATTTAATATAAGAAAGATAGTCAGTCATTTTCAGACTAAATGAAAACACTTACGCCCTTTAGTGTTTCAAGTGTGTTGTATATGTGTTTATTTTACAAAAAGTTTAATGGTACAAAAAATTTAAATCAATATTTTAAGAAAAATTTATTGTAAATTGTTTTCTGATAAAAATCAAAATATTTTAATTATATGTCCATAAATTTTGCTATCAAACATATAAATTATCACCATATGTGTCGTTTTATCCAATCAACATATTTATAAACTCTTGTATATGCTGCAGGAACTCCGGGTGTTCCACATGACCCAAAACCAGTCGAAGTTATTCCAACCACATAATACATGCAATCATATTTGGGGTGATAGGACAACAAAGGACCTCCGGAGTCTCCGTCACATGTATCTTCCTTTTTTTTTGAACCGGCGCATATTTGAGAATCACTATTAAAACCGTCTTTTAATTTATCAATATCAGAATCTCTGGCACTTGTGTCGCAGAGATTTGATGGAAAATGTTCCAAACCAACTTTAAGTAAATAACCTGGGCCTGGCTGGGCAAATGCAATAGATCCCCAGCCAACAGCAATGAGCTTTGAAAATTCGTCTCCACTTGTTATCGGCAAGCAGGCTGGAAGTTTATATTCACTGAAAATAACAGATTTAGCGAGTTCAACTAGACCTATATCATTGAAGGCTGAATCATCATTATAATCTGGGTGTGCTATGTATCGAGCAATATTAAAATCTTCTGGTTGTGCATCATCATCCGTTTTATCAAAATCAAGTTCACCTAACCGAACGCGATTTAAGTCACCACTAGAATTTATAAATAAAATTGCATATACAAAATTACATAAAATGGAAATTCCAGACAATATAATTGATATATGTTTAACTATTTGAAAAAAATAGGTAATTCCATTTCGTTTTATACAAAAAACTACACACTCACTCATTGTACTCAAAACAATGTGCTGCTGTCAAAACCATTTTTTCGCTCACAAGAGTGCCTCCGCAAAACCAAGATATGGGTTTGTTTTCTTCGGCATAACCCAAACGAGCCATGTGTGGAAATTCCTTACCCTTTGCTGGCTTCCCACCAACAACGAAAGGTGCATACGATTTACAATTATCCTCTTCCACTGCGATTAGATTGGGTTTGTATATTAATGGTTGAAAGGTCACTTCTTTGTTAAAAACTCTTTTCTTATACTGCTCACATTCTACAAACAAATTAGTTTAGATTGACAAAATAGATAATGCATAGGTCAAGTTAGTTACTTGAAGTCTCAATCGAATTGCGCGTTTGACCCGACACATAAACTTTGTTAATTATAAATAATAATAAAAAAAAAATAAGTTTTTCATTATTTAAAAATATCTGCATTTTATGATTAGACAGAAATCCTGTTTCAACCTCTTGACTCGTCTTCAATAAATTAACTAAACTTGTTTCGCCACTTATACTTCTAGACTAGAGAAATAGCTTTGATTTTTTTTTATTGAGATAAGAGTTTATTTTAAGTTCGCAATTATAACGAACAAAGCTAAATTAAAACAAGCTTTAAAAGAAATTATTTTGTTTACTATTGGATTTTACTGTAATTGAGCTTTTGTATAACAACAATAATTTAATTCATATATTCTGTTTGTAGTTATTGAAAATGTGAGCCGTCAATCTACTATATGTTTGTAATTGTGTGTACCCCATATTTTAGTAGTTGAAGTATCATATAGCTGCTTATTAAAGGCATATATGTGGTATCGATCCAAATTACTACTCAAATTATATAGTTGTTAAAATCGGCGATTTAAAATTTACTCATTTTTGATATAAATAAAGCTAATATATTACACATAATTAAATTAGTCCACAAAATTTATAAATTTTATAAATAGAATTTATATACTAATATAACGATTTTCGAATATTTTTTACACTTAAAATTAATTAAAATGAATTCCTTCAGAATTGAATGCTAAAAGCAGTCTCATAAAGTCATCAACATCCATAGATCGTGCACGACAGGTTTCCATTCCAAGTTTTTGCAAAATATTTATGACTTTGCTTTGCATATTAAAATTTTCCTCAATGGACTAAAAAGAAAATTATATGAAAAAAGTCGAATATATATCTGGTTCACAGTGCAACATCGCATACGACAAAGTTACAGAAAATTTTTAAGATATGTTCAAACAAATGAACTTATTTCTGTAGTGGAAATTCTTTATTTTTTGCAACTTTCTCAATACGATTTACATTGCAAATCTCACATTATTAAATGAATTTTTACCATATTGTGAAGAGATAAATGTAGTTTATAATTTTTTTCTAGCATTTCCGTTACGGAACTTAGTTTAAATCCAGCCGCTAAAGTTTTATTTTTTCTCAAAAAAGCAATACGTGTAAGTCCATCCCATTCAGTAAAATTAATGGGTGGTGGTGGATTTTTTGGTTCCAATCGCACAACGCTCGATTCAACTTTTGGTGGAGGTTTGAAGTTATTTTTTCCTACTTTCATAAGCATGTCAACATGTGCTAATAGTTGTGTATTTATACTCAGACGACAATATAATTTATCCCCAGGCTTAGCGACAAGTCGTTGAGCGAATTCCCTTTGAAACATGAGCACAGCACATCTAAACAATGGACGGTGCAACAATAATTTAAAAACAAGTGGCGAACTTATTTGGTAAGGTACATTAGCTATACATAAATCGAATAAAGGTAGTTCTGCTTTTAAGAAATCCCCCAAGAGCACCTGCAACTTCGTTTGCATTGGTGTACCTTGCACCCGTTTTTGCAATTCAGCTGCCAAACGTGCGTCTATTTCACATGCAATCACTTTCTTTGCATGCTCAAGTATTTTTACAGTCATGTTACCAGTACCAGGTCCAATTTCAAGCACAATATCTGAATTTGGTCGTAAGGCCGCTTTATCCAACATTGATTTTATTACAAGTGGGTTCTTAAGAATATGTTGCCCAAAATCCTTATTATAAATGATACCTTAAATAAACAACATATGCATTCAGAATTTTTATGTATTTATGTACGAATATAGCTACCTTGTTTCTGAATTTCATTATGTATACGTGCTTTTTTTTCACTCTTAATTTTTGGCATTTTTTCTTAGAGAATAACAAAAGCTAACTCCGTTTGAAACATGTGCTCATCGTATATGACAATAAAGTAGTGTTGCAAAGCGCTGATTACTCTGGATGTTAGTTACAATAAACATTACCAGGCCTTTTCTGTAGCTCGCAAGTATGCAAGTATACAGCAAGTTGCTGGCCTATACTGGCCGAAATGTATGCATTACAACAACACTATTTTCTCTACCTTGGCCAGTATAGGTACACTGGCCACACATATCGGCCAGTAAAAAAAAAGTGTTATCTACGCAATAAGCCAACTATTGTGAACCTTCATTGGAAATTTCAACGAATATTGTAATCAAAGAATATCTTTAAGGTATTCTTTGTTTGCAATCTTATATCAAAAATTATATGTAAATAAAAATTCAAACAAAATTCATAAATTTCAAAAATTTGAAAATTAGAAAAAAAGAAAAATATCAAGGTCTTACTTTGAAATTTTAACATTTTTACCATTCCTTTTAATTTTGTATTCAATTTAATTTTTATTTATGTTAATTATTTATTTTAATACAAAATGTAATTAATTGCATTATGCTATTTTTTCAATTTGTCAAAACATAACACTAGACATATTGCAACAGTGATGCTAATGTCTCGCTTAACGAATATAGGCCAGCATGTGTTTTTAACCACACTTGCGAGCTACTGAAAACGCCTCTTGTGTGCATTTGAATTTATATAAAAGTAATTTTATATGCAATATAATTTTGTTGTCGGACAGTTAAATTCATATGATCATGAAAACTTTAACCAAAATGAGAAAATATTAAACACCGTCAACCTGAAAAAACGTCAAGGTGTGCAATAATTGTTTAAATTTAGTGAGGCATTGCGGAAATACAAGACCGTGAATAAATTCGTTTATATAATTTTCAAGCTTGTAATATCACTAGTTAACGCTAAATGGTCAGTATTTAACACTGTTTTATTTCTCTTGTAATTGTCTTACAACAATTTGTTTTTGTTTGCTTTTTTAACGATTGTGTATAGTATTTATTCATGTATTGCATTTTTTAATGAACACAAAAATTCAAAATTCATTAATAAATAATTAACGAATGACTTCTTCACAAACATTAACCTGTCACAAATTTTATTAAAAAATTTATTTTTTTTAAATATTTTAATATACTCATTAACATTAGCAACAGTTGTAAATATTAAACAACTGCCTAGAGTTTTCCATTTTCTTCCAAAAATCATTCACAACAGATCAGTTTTATGATTTGGCGTCATTGTAGCGCGAAGGGGTTATTCGTTAATCACTTTCAGGAAAGTGGGCTTACTTTAGCGCTGTTGTTTCGTTTATTGACGCTGTCATGAGTTGTTTTTCCGGCTTCAAGCTGTTGTATGTTAAATTTAACTGTTTCCAATCTTTAGTTTTATAGTGTTAAATTTAAGTCTTTAAAATCAAATTTAAATCATAATTGAAGCCATAATCTTAGTTAAGATCATCACTTTTTCACTTTACTTCTTCTCCATTAAACTTCATGTTTCAGATCAACAATTAAAAGTTTCGCTCAGGTCATCATTTATATATCTTAGTTCAAATTATCATGTTAAACTTATTATTTCATATCAATAATTAAAACTTTAGTTCAGATTAACATTTTAGATTTCTTAGTTCAAATTATAATTTTTGACTTCTTAAATAAGACGACAAATCAAAACTTTCCAAAACTTCCAAAAGACTTTCCCTTTTGAAAATCTTAGTTAATCTAAACACACCTAACTTGGTGTGTCACCTAACGTTTGGCAATGTCATAAATTGCTTCATATAGGTTTGCAATTATTTCATAATCACAATTTATGTAATTATATGATTAAATTAAATTTCGTTATCAATTTAATATTATATGAATATATTACTATTATATTTAATATTATATGATTGAATTAATTACTAATTATGAGAACTTGAAGATGTATTTAATTATTTGTACATTAAAATATAAAACATAATTAGATATTTAATAACATGGTGTTTATTAATATACTTCATGATATCATGGCTACTATAGGTCATAGTACTGTCCTTACTACCATACATATTAATACCATTTGCACTAACAACAACTATGGTTGGGCTACTGCCGGTGTTTACTCACCTCATAATAGGCAAATCTTTCATCAAAAATCAAATTAATAATAATTTGGAAGAACTTGTGCATTGAATGCACACAAAGCCAAACATATACTTTAGGAAAAATGTATACAAAAGCAAAGACTATTTGTTTGAACTCAGCAAACATTTTCAATCGCGAAAGAATCTTGCGCGAATCGTAATGCTGAGCAATTTAATTGCGGAAGAGCACGTCTGAGAGTCGCAGACGATGCTTTCGTTGTGAGAACTTGTCCGTTTATCCGTGAGTCACTTAAAAGCGTAACAAATTACGCATCTGTATGCATCGCGTATGCATCGCGTATGCATCGCAGAGAAGCATAAAAACTTACTCTTTCGTATGCATCGCAGAGGAGCGTAAAAACTTGCTTTTCTATATGTATCACAGAGTAGCGTTACTCTGCTACTCTGTGAAATAGAAAATAAAATAGAAAATAAATAGAAAATAAAATAGAAAATAAAATTTAAAAGTTGAGGTTAATGGTTTTAATAAACCATAAATGATTAATTAAAATTATTAAAAACAATATCAATAAATTTTAATATATATTTATAATTAATTATATATTTACAAAAATAAAATAATAAGAAATAAGTATTAAAAGTAGTTCAATATTTCTTATTGATAACTTAATGCTATTATTAATTAAATTTTTTAAAATACTAGAGATAGATATTAAATAAGATATTACTAAGGTCGTGTGCGAGTTAGGCTAAGTTGCGTTCTAAATGAGGAAAATTCTAAGTTGTGTCGATAATGTATTGATGTGTCGATACGTGTTGATAAATGGCAAAATGTATGCAGTGCAAAAAATCCCAAAAAATCTCCCATTTGGTTTAGCATCAACTTAGCCTAACTCGCACACGACCTAAATATTAATATACAGCTATAGTATGTGCAGCGTACGCACGAATAATATTACATGTGTCCTTTTACTCCCAATTTAAATGATCGATCTGGTGCATCCATTATAAATATTCAAATATTAATTACAATTTCAATTTAGAAATAAAATTACATTGTATTTAGTACATTACATATTTAAAATTATTAACTTTAAATAATAAGAAATCAAAATATTACTTACCTATATACGAGGGTGGTTTGATAAGTCAGTGACTTTTTGATTTCCCGCGCAGTTACTCCAAATGCAACAGTGCTGCCGTCAGCTGTAATCTACCAGTGGGCAACTTTTTCGTGAATTTTTACGAAAATGGAAAAAATGAATTCCATTTCTTTGGGATTTGGGATCGTAATGCTTAATCAGCATACGAAATTCACTTTTTTCCATTTTCGTAAAACTTCACGAGGTTGTCTGCTTTGAACGGCTATCAAACACCAACTGAACGACGTAGCTTGCTCAAAATTAAAAAGTTGCCCACTATTGCATTTGCAGTAACTGCGCGGGAAATTGAAAAAGTCACTGAACAATCGCTTAACAATCGTTCAAGTGCGTAATAGAGGAGTAACTTAAAAACACATTCGCCAAACAAACGTCGAGGCGAGTAATAATTGCACTTTAAGAATAAAGAAAGAAAAGCGACATATGGAAATATTATATTACAGAAAAAGCAGAAAGAGTAATAAGGCGAGTAATAAGCGACGCATTTTGACGATTAGCGATAAATGAATCGTATAAATGCTGGCTGGGAATTTGTGTGTCCATTCAACAGTAAAAAACTCTTCTTCGTGTCTGTCTGATTTCCTCTTAACTAAAACGAAACAAAATTTTGTGAATATATAAAACAAAAAATTGCTTTTCACTGATTGCCCTTTCGTCTCGATGCAGCAAAACAATGAAAGCATAAGATTGCAAAACAGAAAATCATCACCATATTAATCGCACAGGCCTCCAACTTAACAATATGAATAGAAGCTATAGTGCCTATTATGAATTGTCTATCGCTGATAGACAGTAGAAAAAGTTCTACTGCTGATAGACAAAATCAAATTTTGGTATTATGAATTGCAAACCGATAGAAGTTTTTCTATCAGCGGTAGACAAATTTCTCTACTGCATTTGAGCAGTAAAAGTTTGTCTATCGTATAAAATAAATGCTGTTAAAACGCTTTATACAGTCAATTTAACATATAAATTTAATATAACTTAAATATTACTAATTTAATAGTTAGTAATAATTCATTTAGATTTAATATTATATAATATATCATTTTATATATCTGTTTTCAAGTGTAGTGTATTATATATTGAGAGTAACGGTTGTTACATTTTTGTTTTTTTATCTTATTTGCTTATGTTTGCTTATTAGTCCAATGCAGGAAGCCATTGATAATTTGGTGGATCTAAATCAGTCTACGGATCCCAAGGGCTTTGAGTTGGGGCTGCCAAATGAAGTTAATAATTTCGAAATTGTGGAAGAGCAAAATGCGGGAAATGGTAGTGCAGAAAGTGAAGATGAAGTTTATCTGCCACCAACTAGTAAAAAACGGAAAAAGGTAGCTTCTAACCAGACAAGACTAGAGCTACTAAACAATGCCCAAACAAATGCCCAGGAACTATTTTATAAAGATGTCTCTAGGGGACTAGAAAATATTGAAAATCTTTTAGTAAGAGAAAGCATTAAAAAGCAAGAGTATTGTGATCGAAAACTTGCTCTAAAAGAAGAAAAATTAAGAATATTTAAAGAAAATGCCGACAAAAGAAATAAATATCGCTCTCTTAAGCTTCAACTGCTTAAAGAAAATATTAATGCTAATAATTTATGTAGTATATTCGATAATGGCAACACTGCATAAAGAAATAGAGAAAGAAGTAAAAAAGACAAAATGCGTAGTTGTTGTCGGAATCGTGCAAAGCAGAGTAAACGTGCTGTGGTGTAATCATAATATTTATTAAGATTAAATTGTAAATTATTATAATACTTTAAGTAATAAAGTATATGTTGTTATATATAAGAACATAACAAAGTTGGCGACGAGGATAAAAATTAAAGGATGGCGAGGAGTTTTGGGGTATTGGATCAATTTGACGTTGCGTCGGGGAAGTGGAAGACTTACAGGGAGCAAATGGAGTTTTTTTTTATGGCAAATGAAATCACAGACGATAAAAAGAAAAAAGCAATCTTTTTAGCGTCATGTGGGCCGGAAACCTACACAATATTAAAATCGGTTGCCACACCGATTAATATTGTAGAGGAAACATTCACATTTGAAGCGGCAACTAAGTTATTGACCAACTATTTTTGTCCGGCAGCGAATGCAATAATTGAAAGGTTTAAATTTTATCGGAGAAACCAAGTAGAGGACGAATCAATTATTGAATATTTGGCAGCGCTAAGGAAATTGAGCCAAGACTGCAATTTCAAGGATTTGGAAGAAATGTTACGAGACAGACTAGTCTGTGGCATGCGCGATGAAAATTTACAAAAGCGGCTCCTGGCGAATGACCAGTTAACACTAAAAATAGCGCAGGAGGAAGCTATAGCATCAGAAACAGCACAAAAGAATGCGACGGAACTTAAAACGTCAGCCAGCCTACCAGGGTTGAATAAAATTTCAAGCAACAAGGTAAAACCAAATCGTGCTCCAGTGGACCATATTCAGAATTGTTATCGTTGTCGAGGAAATCATCATTCAGATCAGTGCAAATTTAAAGACGCGGAATGTTATTATTGCAAAAAGCGTGGACATATTGAGAGAGCTTGTATAAAAAAAGCAAAAACCAAAAAGCCAGCAACAAATAATGGAAGAAGACTAAACAGAGTAAATCTTTTAGATACAAACCAGGAAACTCAAAAGACAGAGTATTTATGGTCAATGTTCGTTAAAGGTAGTCCATCGGTCAAGAGAGTGATTACGATAAGTAAGTCACCGGTACAAATGGAAATAGATTCGGGGGCAAGTTACTCAATAATAAGTGAAAAGTTATTTAGAGAAAAAATGCCGTATATTCCGCTAAAACCAAGTCAAATACAATTAAGAACTTGGGGAACAGAGAAAAATCTTAAACTGAGTGGAGAAGCAGAAGTACCAGTCTCGGTTGGGAACGTCACAAAGAAACTAAAGTTGTTAGTAGCAGCGGGTGAAGGTCCGGCTCTAATCGGTCGAAATTGGTTTAACGATTTGGGAATTACTATAACCAGCAATTTATGCAATATAGAATCAACTATTCCAGTAGAAGTGATGAACTTCAGTTCAGTTTTTGATGGAAATCTTGGAGATTACAAGGGAAATCCTGTGAAGTTACAAATGTCAGTTTCAAGTAAACCGAAATTTCTTCGATATCGACAAGTGCCGTTTGCACTAAAACTCAAGGTGGAAGCAGCATTAAAGAAGTTGGAAGATGAAGGCGCACTACGTTCAATATCCTTTAGTGAGTGGGCAACACCGGTTGTACCTATAATTAAACCAGATGGTAGCATACGCATTTGTGGAGATTATAAGTGCACAGTGAATCAAATGCTTTGCAAGGAAACGTATCCATTACCTACTAATACAGAAGTGCTAGCAACATTAGCAAATTGTAAGTGGTTTACAAAGCTGGATTTAGATCGAGCGTATACACAGGTGAAGGTTGACCAAGAATCAGCAAGGATACTTACATTAAACACACATCGCGGACTTTTTGAAGTTACAAGATTACCGTTTGGAATTTCAACGGCACCAGGTATATTTCAACGGGTGATGGAAGGAGTTCTTAAGAACATAGATGGTGTGATTATTTATTTAGATGACATTCTAATTGGCGGAACAACTTTGGAAGAGTTGTGGGATAGAACACGAACTGCTCTGAAACGTGTACAGGATGCAGGATTGAAGCTTAAAAAATCAAAATGTGTTTTCGCAGTACAAGAGATAACATTTTTGGGGTTTAAGATAAGCCGAGAAGGAGTGCGTCCAACTGACGAAAAGGTGAAGGCAATAGCTCGAGCACCAGAACCAATAAATAAACAGCAGCTACAAGCTTTTCTTGGGTTAATTACATTTTATGATAGATTTTTACAAAATAAGGGCGATCTATTGGAACCGCTGTATCGACTATTAAGAAAAGAGATACCTTTTAAATGGGGTAAAGAACAGAAATTAAGTTTTGAACGAGCAAAGAAACTATTACAATCAAAAAATCTTTTGGTGCATTATTCGGCTGACTTACCACTGATATTATGCGGAGACGCATCACCGTATGGAGTTGGAGTTGTTTTGGCACACAAGATGCCGGATGATAGAGAAGCACCGATTGCTTTTGGCTCCAGAACATTACAGGGCGCGGAACGAAATTATTCACAGTTGGATAAAGAAGCGCTAGCGATTATGTTTGGTGTGCAAAAGTTTCATCAATTTTTAAGTGGTAGACAATTTACAATAATGACTGATCATAAACCACTAGTGGGATTATTTAATCCAGAAAAACCAATATCACAGCATATATCACCCAGAATGTTAAGGTGGTCGTTAAAGTTAGGCGCTTACCAGTACGAGATTAAATTTCGAGAAGGGAAACATCACCAGAATGCAGATGCATTGAGCCGGTTACCTTTAAATGATGTAAAGCTACAAATACCGGAAATACCTGAAATATTATACTGCAATGAGGCTGAGGAACAGTTTTTAATCACTGCGAAAGAAATTGCACAAGCAACCAGAAGAGATCCAATACTATCAAAAGTAATGTGGCATATCCAAAGGAAAGATACAGTTTTGCCATATAAATCAATCCAGTTTAAACCGTTTGTGAATAAAATCCAGGAACTATCAGTGAATGCACAATGTTTGTTATGGGGAGCCAGGGTAATAATACCAGCAACACTACGTCCCAGAATACTTGAGATGTTGCACGAAGTTCATCAAGGCATGTCGGCAATGAAAGCAGTTGCGCGAAGCTATTTTTGGTGGCCTGGTTTAGATGAAGATATAGAAATGTTAGCCAGACGTTGTGAAAAGTGTGCATGTAACAAAAAGAATCCTCCAGTAGCAGCAGGTAAACCATGGCCAGCAACGCTAAGGCCATGGTCACGGTTACATATTGATTATGCGGGACCCTTTATGGGTACATATTTTTTTATCGTCGTAGATGCTCATAGCAAGTGGGTAGAGATAAAAATAACCAGTAAAATAAATGCGATTAGAACAATCGAGTTAATGAGAGAAATATTTGCAACACATGGTATACCAGATACCATTGTGTCCGATAATGGGCGAACGTTTGTGTCAGAAGAATTTGAGAAATATTTAAAACTTAGCGGTATAAAGCACATACGTACGGCACCGTATCATCCATCGTCAAACGGGCAAGCAGAAAGGTTTGTACAAACCATTAAGAATCACCTTAAGAAAATGCAGTCTTCAGACATCAGTAAGAATTTGGCAAATATACTTTTGCATCTGCGTACAACTCCTAATGCAAATTCAAATTTGAGTCCAGCAGAAATCTTGATGGGAAGGAAGTTGAAAACATTGTTAGATCATTTGCACCCCAGTGATCACAACACTCAGAAGCAGCTAAATTCTGATGAGTATTCCAAACAAATAAAACCAGTTCGCAGTTTCCAGTGTGGTGAAAGTGTTTGGTATCGAAATTTTGGAAGAGGTGAAAAGTGGATGCCAGGGATTATACAATCAACAGGAGATCGCAACTACAAAATTCAATCAAATAGTGACATATTGTCGAGACATATTGACCAGTTGCATAAGCGAGTTTCGGAGACACCGACAAGGTTAGAATCCAATATAACTCCAGTAGCAGTAACTTCAGTGGCACAACCGGAAGAGCAAGACGACCAAGTAAGGGCAGGTCAGTCATCAAATGAATATATCCTACCAGATAGTCAAGTAGAGGGGTCATTAGAAGAAAAAGATGAAAGAGATGAAACATTAAAATCGCGACCGTACCGGCAGAGGCAACCGCCAAAAAGGTTACGGGACTATTTGATGGGGGAGGAACTGTAGTATATTCGATAATGGCAACATTGCATAAAGAAATAGAGAAAGAAGTAAAAAAGACAAAATGCGTAGTTGTTGTCGGAATCGTGCAAAGCAGAGTAAACGTGCTGTGGTGTAATCATAATATTTATTAAGATTAAATTGTAAATTATTATAATACTTTAAGTAATAAAGTATATGTTGTTATATATAAGAACATAACAATTTAATTTAATTTAATGTACATATGTAAATATTATCACATATTATAAAAATATTAAAGTATATATAAATATAAACAATTATTTCTAGATTATTTAAGTTTAAGTTTAATATATTAATATATATATATTAATAAAATATTTTTAAAGAATATTTGAATTGGATTTTATACTTTTAGAGGAGATGTAATTAAATTTCAATTTTTTAATGCATAATTGAACGTGCATTTTCGTCCCTTAACAAATGCGGATTTGCGCCCAATGGCGAGTCGTCATTCGAAATTTCCAATGGATCATCTTCCGGCTCATTATCATCGTTATCTTGATATATATCTGGTGGTGTAGGCTCGGACAAATCGTATTTAATGCAAATGTTGTGTAATGCTGCACACACATGTATTACTTTTTTTGCTTTTTCTGGTGTATAATGAAGACCTCTAGCTCCAATTAAGCATCTGAAACGATTTTTAAAAGTGCCACTACATCGTTCTATGATCTCTCTTCCTAGGACATGCTTCTTATTAAATTGTTGTTCTGCAGAGCTATCTGCAGGGTTCCGGTATGGTGTCAAAAGATATGGTTTTAAGGGATACCCTGAGTCTCCTGAAAAATTAATTCAATTAATAATTTGTTTTAATATTGTTCTCTTTGGATCCCGTACAATTTGACGATCGCTCAAAAAAAGGCTCGTGTCGAAAAAGGTGCAAAGAAATATTGAAAAAATACGTTCGCGGTGCTTCAAAAGACGTTTAAAGGATCGTCACAGGTAACGAATCATGGATCTATGCGTGTGAGCCTGAAACAAAACAACAATCCACCGTGTGGGTGTTCGAAGACGAGCCAAATCCAACGAAAGTTGTTCGTGGAAAAAGCACTTCGAGGCAAATGGTCGCAAAACTGGTCATGTGGCGACTGTTCCGCTTGAGAAACGAAGGACGGTCACTTCTGAGTGGTACAACACAATTTATTTGCCTGAAGTCTTCGAAGAAAATCGAAAAACGAACAAGAGACATGGCACCTAATGACTTTTCATTCTCACACATCAAGAAAAAAATGCGTGGTCAACGATTTTCGTCGCCAGAAGATGCTGTTGAAGCGTTCAAAAACTATGTGTTGGAGGTGTCTTAATCGGAGTGGAAAAAGTACTTCAACAATTTGTTTGAGCGCATGAAAAAGTGTATAAATCAGTATGGAGAATACTTTGAAAAACAATAAAATAATTTTTGATGATAAATATTTGCATTTTCATTATTAGGCCAGCAGTCTCGTATATTAGTAAAAGAGAATAATGAAGCCACAGTGAACATTTTGGGAATATACCGTGAAATATTTGCAAAATCACTGGAAATGCGATAACAACTCTTTTATAAAACGGCAATACGTTCCATTGATGAGGCTATAATGAATGTAAGTGTTTATAAAATTTTTCAAAAAATATTTACAATGCACTTTTGTTTTTAGCTTCCATCACGAATAAGAACTTTTAGCAAAAGGAAGAAAAGTTCAGAGTGGTGGGATATTGGAAGTTCTGCAGTTTTATGACGATGAACAATGGATTGCTGATTTTCGAATGAATCGGCAAACATATTTCAGACTCGTAGATTTACTTAAGGATAGAATGGCACCAGTAGGAAATACTTTCGTTGAAGGGTTGTTTGTTGAAAAAAAAATAGCTCTTGCAGTTTACAAACTTACCTCTTGTGCTGAACACCGTGTAACTGCAAGGCATTTGAAAATCAAGTCGGCAAAATTTTATCCTGAGCAAACACATCAAAATGTGAACGCATAGCCTCGAGATTTGAACAAAAATTTAAACCGCCGAACATTATTGGTGTTATAGGCGGCACTCATGAGCCAATTACACCTCCACAAAACGGTTGTGCAGAATTTCGTAACAAAAAGGGTTACAGTGCAGTGCAAGCTATTGTAGATGACCAATTATTTAGAAATATTGCAGCATAAAACCTTGGCTGTACACATGATGTATCAGTTCTTAGGAGCAGTTCTCGGAATTTACAACACCCCCAATGAAGCTATGCTTTTTAAACTTCCTTGTCATATTATTGATGATGCAGCTTATTCGTTTTGCAACTGGATTATGGAAAATTAAAGGGACGAGTTAACTCCTGAAGACACATCCTTCAACTTATATTTGAGTCAAGCACAAATTGTTGTGGAACAAGCATTTGGGCACTTAAAAGGAAGATGAAGAATGCTTTATAAGAAGAGCGACCTGGATGTTTATAACATGCCGCATGTGATAATACCGTGCGGAATTCTTCACAATTTTGTGGAGATATCGTTATAATTCCTCATTGGATGTAGAAAGAGTCCACGGCGAAAGTGAATATCCTCAGCCTGTACTTATATATAATTGATAAAATTCTTCAGTCCGGATATCTTATATTTCACTTATACTAAACTAAAATATTTTAAATATAAAGTCACCATTTGAGTAAAAGTAAGATTTAAAAATGGATAATAAAAAATGAATATTTTTAATGAATTTAGATTCTTGGATGCAATTAGGCTTTTAATTGAACTTTGAATCACCTCATTGCTACTATATACCATATTTTCATTATGCTTATGCTGCTCTTTCAACATTTTGGTTTTCCATTCACACATTAGTATTCATTCTTTGTCGAAGCCAATTAAGTGTACATAAAGAATTAAATTCAAAATTTCAATTTTGCTCATCTTTATTGTCATTTAAATATTTCTATTTCTATTCGCCTGCAATTAGCAAAATTAAAGTTCAGTAACAAAATATTTATTTGTATCATGAATTATCATTCACGTGTTCAACGCTACTCTCAATGTCTAGAGTATCGTACCCGCTATATTCAAGAACTGATGATGGCCTTGCGTCAAGTATTTCGCACATCAAGCGATGGTATTCCATGTAACTGTTATCACTACAATTATTTTTTTATTTTTTTTTATTTCAAAGAGTTGTCTTTTTAATGCCTGCGACTTTTGTTTTTTATTTGCTGTACATTTCTCTACCAGCCACCGATTTTCATTTCTTGGTGAACTATTTCATAAATTGTGTCCTTTCTTTTTTGTTTTTTATTAAAACATACATTTATTTATTGCATCTTCTCTTAGAATGAGACTAACAATAAGTTGTACAATCTTATAACTAATTATATAATATTACAAATTTTAATTTTTCCTATACATAATATAAAATAAAATAAAATAAGTAAACCTTATATCACGAACCTCACTTAGATCAATGGGTTAAATTTCATTGGAGTAAAAGTTAGGTGGTTTATTAAGAAAGCAGATCAACTTTATCAGATTACTTAAAAGAAAGGTGCGGTTTTTGCTTCAAGCTATTGAATATTAATTAATGGCTGGACGATCAGCTCTTTGTAGGCGGGAAATAATGGATAGAAGTGCGAGATTTCTTGCTAAGAGATTAACATGCTCTGTCAGCCTTTTATTGTATTTTTTGCTTATATTGTCAAATTCAGCTTTAAAAAGGGGAATTTGTAGACTAGCACTAGCATTACCAAATAGCTGGATACCATAAGTCCATATTGGTTTTATGATGCTGTTATACAAGAATATTTTATACTCTAGACACAGGAAAGATCTGTTATTAATGAGCCAATGCAACTTAGAGGCTTGGAGCTTCATCTGAATTTTTTTAGCTTCAATATGTTCGCGCTAAGTTATTCGTCTGTCTAGGTGAATGCCTAAGTACGTTATATTATCTGTTTGTGGTATGGGAATGTTATTTAATAAAATTGTTGGAGACGTACTCCGATTTAAGGTAAATGTGACGTGTCTACATTTTCGTTCATTAATTTTAATTCGCCATTTTGACAGTCATTTCTCCACCCGAAATAATTGAGATGGAAGTTAGTTTGAAGCTAGCACAACGTTTCTGTTTCGGCATAAAATTGCCTTATCATCAGCAAACGTTGTGTTGACGACTGAGCTATTTATTGGGATATCAGATATGTGAAATACATACAAGATAGGGCCAAGAACACTTCCTTGTACAACACCAGCTTCTATTTGGAAATTATTAAAAGTATATGATTTACATTTAACTTTAAAGCTTCTATTATGCAGACACGATTCTAAAATTGAGTGGAAATTTGCAGATAATGAACAGCGTATCTTATATATGAGCCCATTATGCCATATTTTATCAAATACTTGTTTAACGTCGAGGAATACCACGGAACAATTTTCTCTGAGCTCAAATGCGTGTCTTATTTCATTCGTTATATCACTTGCTCAATAGTTCTATATTTTTCCCTAAAACCAAACTGATGGAAGGGTATTAGGTTTTGAACGTCAAGGAGTTTAAAACCGAGATTGCGTCCTCAATATGAGACTTACACTTTATCTTGTAATTTGTGTGTATGTGTGAATTAATGTACTTTTTATATTTCAACCAGTTTGTTCTAGGATTTGTAAGGCTATAGGAACAGTCATATAACTACAGATCATCAAGTAAGCAAAATGTAACTGGAGAATGGTCAGAAGACAAATCGCAGCTTGTGTATGTTGAGATAGAATTTCTGCTTATGCCTTTGGTCACGGCGAAGTCTATTAGGTCTGATATTTTATTGTTATCAGCAGGCCAATATGTTGGCTGCCCAGGAGAGATTACGTCTAGTGCATTTTCCCTAATTAGAATGGAATTGTGGAGCTGTTTTCCACAATTCACGAATCTGTGGATTACAGATTCGTGAACCCCAATACGTGTGCTTGGCGTTGTAGTCTTCCGCCGCAAGAAATCTCACCTAGAGTTAAGAAGTAATCCTTAAATTGGGTCTCAGTAATGTTGAAGCGAGGGGGGCAGTAAACTGCCGATACAATTAAATTTTTTCCTTTGTGCTTAAGGTGTATTAATGTGGCTTACATATAATTATGAGCATATGTACCTAGAAAATTGTGTTTTAGACGCCTTCGTATCAAAATACATGTACCACCATGTACTTTGCCATGGTTTTATAAAACAAATAACCAGGAATAGAAAAGAAATTTTTGTTTGTTAGATGCAGGGTTTGAATTGCTTGCTGAAAATTAGCAAAAGCAACCATATTTTGACTAATGCATAAATATTAACCAGTCGATTTTTGTCAAACGACTAATTGCTAACGCATTGCATATGAAAATGAAATAAAAATATGCATTAGCAACAGCAAAAAACGTAAACTGGTTTCATTTTGATTGCTTGCTAATAGTCAATTTTACATTTTTGACTATTATGCATTTGGAATATATGCAACTTGCTTGCTTATGCGTTAGCTGCTTGTGTTTTGCTATTAGCAAATGTATATGGATTTCTTCTTTTTGTTTTTGTTTTAAGGGAATGTGTACGCATTATTTCTTTGTTGGTGCATTGAATATAGTTGTGCAAAATTGTAAGTAATGTGTGTGCGTATAATTTGTATGCTAATTAATATATTTATCTGTAAATAAGATTATGCTAAATTTATTTTTTTTTAATTATAAATCCCTATTGAATATAATGAAAAATTTGATATTAATTATTAATTATTATATATATGTATATATATATATATATATATATGTTTATATTTGTGGGAAAATTTTAAGTAATATGTAGAACATATTATATACAAAGTTGCCGTTATTCTAAAGTGTTTCATTTTAATCGGTGTATCATGACTTAATAAATTCGCAATTCTTCAACATTTTAATATAAATAGTGATAGCGATTTAGCAGTTCGACTTCTTCGTACAGCTCGTTGGAGATGCTTTTCAATACAAATTTTTTATTAAATTTTTCTTCTAAGCCACGACAAATAGGGTCAATAATCTTTCTCATATTTTCCGAATTAAGGACATTAAATGGAATAGCGAAATAACTCTTTTTTGCTCATTTCGATTTTAATTGTTTGTTTTCGGAATGATTTTTTCACAACTATTGCACTACTACTTGAGCTGGAATCTTCATTTTTATTTATATTTAACTGGTGCATATTTTTTAAATGTGTTCTTAAATTAAATATTCTGTCCCTCTTCAACGAATGTTTGCAAATTTTACAAACTGCTAAATCGCTATCACTATTTATATTAAAATGTTGAAGAATTGCGAATTTATTAAGTCGCGGAGCCATGATACACCGATTAAAATGAAACACTTTAGAATAACGGCAACTTTGTATATAATATGTTTTACATATTATTTAAAATTTTCCCACAAATATAAACATATATATATATATATATATATATATAAATTAATAATTAATAATTAATATCATATATATCATATATATCATATATATCATAAATTTAATAATTAAAAAAAACATAAATTTAGGCATAATCTATTTACAGATAAAATAATATTAATTGCATACAAATTGTACGCACACACATTACTTACAATTTTGCACAACTATATTCAATGCACCAACAAAGAAATAATGCGTACACATTCCCTTAAAACAAAAACAAAAAGAAGAAATCCATATACATTTGCTAATAGCAAAACACAAGCAGCTAACGCATAAGCAAGCAAGTTGCATATATTCCAAATGCATAATAGTCAAAAATGTAAAATTGACTATTAGCAAGCAATCAAAATGAAACCAGTTTACGTTTTTTGCTGTTGCTAATGCATATTTTTATTTCATTTTCATATGCAATGCGTTAGCAATTATCCAAGCAATGCAATTAGCAACAGCAATTCAAACCCTGGTTAGATGTGTTTCTGAGCAAAGCATTACATCCACACTTTCTCGGGTCATGAAGTTTGTGAGTTCAAGTTTATGTTGGCTTAAGCCATTTGCATTCCATGTACAAAATTTTAAAGTACTCATTTATTAGACAAAAACATTTGCATTAATTGGCTTTGCATTTTAACTATCTCGTTAAGAGTAGTTTGCATGATTGACATGAACTGAGTTAAGCTCTGGGTGAGAGTGGAGATCATAATTTCTAAACTTTTACTTTGAACTGGATGGGCTTGTTGCTTGTCAGATTTAACGACATTAGCATATGAAACACCTGGTGTAACAGGCTTAGAAGTTAAAGGTTGGGGTACTTCAACTAATTTGATGGGGTTGCTTCTTGTAGGATTACCCAACGCTTCTTTCTGCAGAGCTAACCTGTGCTTCAGTTCTTTATAAATAGGACAGACTTTGTAGTTTGCAGTGTAAATTCAAATTATTTGTACCTATTGACTGTTAACAACTAACAATTCAAACCTTAAACTGCTTTTAAGGTGTTTATGCAATGGTTAAAAGTGATATTTCTCACTAAAAGTAATGTTAGCTACTTTCAGTAAGCGATCTTAAAATCCATTTTAAGAACCTTAAAAGTTGCATTCTACATTTTTGGTCTAGTTTTTCTTGCTTTATTTCTAAGTAAATTAAAAAGTACAAAAGCTGTTTGTGTGGTTAATGAAATGCAAGTATACAGACCAAGTATGCGCTTTGCTATACACTTTGAAACAAGGTGTACTTTTACCGCATACATGTTTGCAGACCGAAATTTGGTATTCATACTTACATTTACACAGTGCGATTTGGTAGCACGAAAACAACTATGAACGTATGTATTTGTTTCTGCGGCCATCCAATCTGTATCGTGACTTGTATTGGCCTGCGATTGCATCTGATCTGGACACCCCTGGTCTATATCATGGTCAAGTTAAACTATGATTCATGCTCACGAATCAAAAAATTTAATTAATTAACTTAATTACATTAAGTTGTATTTAAAATACAACTTAATAAAATAAATAAGTTGTATTTAAGGGTGGACGAACGACAAAATATTATTTATATATTATAAACAATAGAGCTTGCCATTTCACAGTAAACATGTATATACAAAAGATAATGATTCAGGAGCCTTAAATAAAACTAATCCCTTGGAAAAATATAAGCTCCAAAGTAAAATATATTAATTTAAACTGTGAATTATTTTTTTTTTATTAATTTTTACCGTTCACAATTAATTTTTTTTTTGTTTTTGATTTTTTTTTGTAGTGTTGCATATTTTATGTATATTGTTTCTTAACTGCTTAATTTTTAAAATTTTTTATATTACAATATCTTTAAATTTTTCACTTACGATTTTTAAAGGTAACATCAATGTTTTTGTTTTTAATTATATTTTTTATTTTATAAATACAATTTATATATTCATATTTTATCTACTATATTTTTATAATTATTTCAACGTGTTCAATGTAATAGAAACAAAATGACACTACATACATAGCAAAAATTAGAAACTAATATATATACTGAATAGGACTACATATATCAGTTTTAAACATTAAATTTACTTTGGTTTATTATTTTAATTTTTGTAATATGACTTTTTTAAAACTAAACAAAATATTAATATTCATATTAAATTTTAGTTAAATTGAGTACTCATTAAAAACAAAACAGTAAAACTTATGTTACATATAATCATCTGCAAGTATATATTCATTTACTTTCATTGTTCTGATTAAAGTATATAAACATTTATGTATTAATATTTATATATTTATGTATTAATTTTATATTCAAAAAATTATTTATTTTGTAACAGTTTTTTAAAAATTATTTAATTATGTTTTATTAAAACTTAAATTTCTGTATTGAGTACATTTTGCTGCTTTTTTTAATTTTAACGCCCAATGTTTTCATATTACGAACATTTTGTTGTATTAAAAATGCTTTAGATATATTCTTACGAAACATTAAAATATTTTTTATTTAATAATATATATCGATTTTCGTTTTATTAGTTTTGCTGCAACCTTTTAATGTTTTTATTTATTTTTAATTAAGTATAAAAAAACCTGATAATTTAAAACATTTGTGAAGTGTTGCAAAATAGTTTTCTCCTTTTAATAAAAACTACACAACTGTATAAAATATATTTATAACGTTGTTTATATCAAGATTATAAGTTTAATAATCGTAAACCACAATGCCCATAAGTTCTTAATTAATATATTTACTAAATTCCAAGTATGTCTATTATCTGAATTTGTTCACGAGTCTTAAATAAATAACATCAAAACAATAAAGATCTGGATTTAGTATTTCGGTGGTTACTTATTAAAAACTTCATTTTTTTTTTTACAAATAATTATTATTTTAGTACAACTGTTATACACATATTGTTTTCTTTTTAATATTTTTAAACTAATACTTTCAATAATATTTTGTAATATTATTTCTAATTTCTTTAATCCATATATTGTGAATTTGTGTACTATTTTAATTTTTTTTAGATTTGTTTTTGACTATCTCTTTTATACAATATTTGTTTCATCTAATAAGATGGATAAAATTGTTTATTTTTTATAGTTTTATAATTGAAATATAGTAAGTTTGTTTAAAGATTTGATTGGGGAGGGAGAAGCGAAACATTTAAATTCTATAAAGAAATCATCATAAATATGTCAAAAATTATATTCATATGTTAACACATATAATTAAAAAAATATAAAATTAAAAATAAAATCATTTTATTAATCTTTGGTGGGCTACCATTTTTAATAGTATAATGGAATTGCAAATACATTCTGTATCAAATAAGTTAAAACATATACTGTTAAAATGTTTTACCATTTTATCATATGCTTTTATAATTGAGGATATACTTATGTAGCTATCTTTCTGTACTTTTAATAGTTATTAAAACATATTATAAATATTTTTAAATTATTCACACAACAAAATGTATAAATTTCAATTATATGTAACAGCTTATTTTAATACAAACGTCCATTATAACATATGGAAAATTATTAGCATATACTATTAATTATTATATCTTAAATCGGCCAACTTTTTTAATTTATATTTTAGATTTCCTTGTTTTATCTGTATTATATTAACAAATTTTATTTGTTATGTAGAAATTAAAATCTTAATAACTAATTAAGGGTACTTTATATACTGTACGCATATTTTTGCGGAATACTTTTTTAAATATACCGATTAACAAACTTAAAATATATATAATTTAGTATAGGTATTACAATCTATAGTAAGGATTATTTATATAGATGGGAACTTAAACATTCATTTAGTGATTTGTTTTTCGTAGTGACGAAAATAATTTTTATCATATTAAAATATAATTCTAAAAAATACATAAAAAAGTTTTATATAAGTTACATAAAAAGTATTTATGTAATAAAAAAGTACAAAACAAATTAGTTCCTTTAACTTTCATTTATGTGCGCTTTTATTTATTTAAACTTTGAAAAATGACAAAAGAAACTTTTAAATTGATACTCAATTTATATTTTGGAATACATAATGCAGTATTAATACTTGAATATATTTGGTCACTCTAAACTTTCCTATTACAATTTAGAATTAATGTGAATGGATTATGTGTGATTGGATTATGCATATGTTCGGATTTGATAACCCTAAAACCCTATCTTATGCATTTACCTACCACGTTACGAATAAACTGAAACATAAAACAGGACAAAAATTTGTATTATCGATTAACCAACTCATTTGCGGAAATATATATGTTATTTTCCCGTTATTTTCAAATTCTGTAAAAAAATAACCATTTTTAAGAACCATTTATATTTCTTTAAATGAATTTATAGAAAGATCGTTTACACTAACTTTGCTGTTAGAATTGTATAGCAACAATGAACGATAAAGAAAATTATAGTAAAATTTCTTTGTAAGAAAATGCATATAAGTTATAAAAAATGTATATGACTAGATGTAGGTATTACTACATATTCAACAAATCCTAATCTACAAAAAATAATTATGTAAGCTAATTCGAAACTTATGAAGGTGAATCTATAATACGTACATGTATTATTCTATGTATATTGCATTAAAAAAGACAAAGAACTATTTTTCACTTTTCAATCTGTTATATTGTAATATAAAGTTTTACTAGGAACTTGAGCTTGTAATTAATTTTTTATTGTGTATTATGTAATATTATGTTTAATAATTTACGTGCCCGTAAGTTTACGTTTAATATTAAAAAGTCCAAATTTTTGAAAAAAAAATTGAAAAAGTATAATTTTGAAGTGGTAAATATAACAATAACAATAAATATTAGCGCGCAGATTGAAATAAGTATTGTAACAAATTGTACGAACAAAAAATACAATAACATACATAATTAGCTAAACTAACATTACATTTATCTTAAATAATATTTCCTACATGTAGTAAAAGTGATTCAATTAAATACATATTTCTTTCTTTTATTAATACGGTTTTTTTTTATTAAATACTGTATTGCACGCTTATTTCGTTAACATCAATAAATTGCAAGAATTTTTTTCAGTTTGTCAACTTTCATATAGTTTTTTGTAGTTTTTCTCATTTAAATTTTTCAACTGATAATAGCAATAAACAAAAAAAATTTTAAAATATACATAAAAATACTTCAATTTGGTACTTTTAATTATTTTAAAAATTTCTGCTTTAATTATCTATTTAAGTCCCTAAAAATGCTCTTTTACATAAAACACAATTTTGGTTGTAAATTTGCAATATGAATTGTTTTAAATATTACTAACAAACTACATACAACGTAAAATTTTACATTTTCCCAAAACGCTTAAATCGGGTATGTTGAGTTTAATTTTTAAATTAATGCGTATACTTACATTCTTTTCTGCATGGTCACAACAAAATGGGATATCAGAATATCTGTTTCGTATTAGTTGTGATTATAGAATTATTGTGTAATTCAAATTCAATTTTTTTCAGGCATCCAATTCTAATTAATATACCTTCCGTTCTGGTCCAAATTTTGGATTAACAAATGAAAATCCTGCAAACTCATCTTGATTTATACAACGAATAATATCATTTGAGACGGGTGTAAGAATAGGTTCCTCTTTAGTAAACTCGGTATCAAAATTATTCGCGTCACGTGGATTTTTCTAAAAAAAGAATACAGCATTTAGTCTTAAGCTAATATCATTCACTTATAAATATTCAAAATCTCACCATTTTTGGTCGGAATGGAGGTTTTATATTGCGCTTTTCTAATTCTTCCCAATCCAATTTTCCGAAAAATGGATGTCTTCGGATTTCGTTTTCATCTCCTGAGCAACCGAGACGTTTTTCCGGATCTTTAGTCAAAAATCCTAAGAAAGAAAATTAACACTATAAAATACTGAATATCCTTCAATAATGATACAAATTAAACTTTTATTTTAAGTATTGTAAATATATTCAAAAGTAAATCAGCAATTTTATGAACCTTTTAATATGGAGACAGCTTCTCTTGATAACCAAACTGGATATAACACGTCATCATGCATTATCGATTCAAATAGTTCATCTTCATTATCAGCCTCAAAGGGTGGTTGCCCAGCCATCATTTCATACATTAGTACACCTAACGCCCACCAATCAACAGAAGCTCCATATTCTTGTTCTTTTAATATTTCTGGTGCGATGTAATCAGGTGTTCCACAAAAAGTTGTTGTTAAAACACCATTGGCAATATTCTCCTACATAAATAGATTAAGTATAATATTTTAATATAGTTCATGCTTTGTTTATATTACCTTGCACATGCCAAAATCTGCCAATTTGCAATGACCCTCTTGGTCTAACAAAATATTATCCAATTTTAAATCGCGATATATAACACCATGTGAGTGTAAAAACTGTAAAGCCAACGTCACTTCTGCAGCATAAAATGCAGCACGGGAGGCTTCAAAACGACGTGCCTTTTGAATTTGAAACATTAAATCTCCACCGTTGACATATTCCATAACAAAGAACAAACGATCCTGTAATATATTATAAAAGTTAAAGAACCATGCATATGTATACAATATTTTTAATAAATATTAAAATCAATAATAAATTTAACTTACTGGTGTCTGAAAACAGGAATGTAATGCCGTTAAGAATGGATGATTTGCTGCTAAAGCTAATATTCGTTTTTCAGTCATTGTGCAATCGACATCATCGTCCTGTATAATAGCATCCTTTTTCAATACTTTTATAGCGTATATTTCGTCACTGCCTTTTTTTTCGGCAAGCATTACTTTGCCAAATGAACCCTTTCCAAGAACTTTTATAAAATTAAAATCTTGCAATGCAGTTTTTCCTGACCGTGAGTCAAAGTATTGTGAACCACTACTACTGCTGCCTCCTACCGATGGAGTATAACTCGATTTTGTCATTTCAGATAGCATAGAACTCCGTGTTGAAGAGCTACCTTCACTTTGATCACTGCGATCACTAACACTGTAATTATCCTCCCCTCCAGGTTGATTTAAGTACTAGATATATTTATTTTTTATAATCTAATAATGTATTTGTGTTTTTTCACTTCATATATACCACTAACCTTTGATCGCCGTGGCTGAGCCTGTTTATCTGGTGAAATTCCTAAAGAGCTTAGTATTTCAGCCATTTGCTTTGTATTAATACCACAAGTATTAGCCACATTTTTCTGACATCTTTTATGCACGTTCATGCTACACACTTCACACTGCAGTCCCTGTTTTATTAAACCATAAAGCAATGAGCCACAATGATCGCAAAACGTGAACCTCTTGTAATTATGCACAACAAATCGATGCGGTACATTCACATTAAAACGTTGACCAGCTGGAACAACTTCTAATTTGTTTTGCTAAAGAAATATTAGGAAATATACATCTGGTTATTTTTAATATATAAAATATTTACCTCTTCTCGCATACCCGGACATTTTGTTACTACAGATCGGTGACATCGTTTATGTACAACGCAGGTGCATACTGAAATTTAAATAAAAAATATTCGAATTATTTCATTTATTTTCATTTATTTAAATAAATACAAAAGTTCTTTACATGCCAATTCGACAAATATCGGCGAACATCATCATTTGATTATTGTTATCTAATTTTCAGCATTCTAAATTAATAATATTTTCAAGATAAAATTTTATAGAGTATAACAGCTTCTAATATTATATTTTTTGACACATTAATTTATTACATTTTTTAAAAAGCTATGAAACAAATTTAAAAATCAATGTATTGTAATATAAGTATATAATATTTTATTTTGTTAAAAGTATTATTCCACTACTATGCATTTTAAATTCCATATTTATATTTAGTCTATATGACTATATTTAGTCAGAATGTGCCAAAATATTTATATTTGAAAGCATCAACTCTATAAAATAAACAAATCCTTTACTAAAGAATACATATACCGAAAACATACATCTGTTTAATATGTTAGTTAAACACAAAATTTATATGTATATATAAAACACATTTTAAAAACAGTAAAGTTAGTAACATTAACAGTTAAAAAGCAAAATTGATTTAAATATAAATGAGATTTAAATTTGCACAGATAAAATATAAATATTAGTTAATGTTTAGTAATCAAATGCAATGCAAAAGTATTTTAAAATGTGAATTCAAAAATAAAACTTTCCAACAAATCGCTTATTTAAATAATAATTTAATTTATTATTCCTCAGAATATGTACATGACATATAATATATATTTCATTTGCAATACATATTCTTATACTATGTATCCAATATCTTCAGTAATCAATTCAACCTACAAGTCACTTGATTCGTTTTATGTAAAGGTATTCACTAATTCGAAATGTATTCATTTGCGGATTTTTTACGATTCATATACATAACAATATTATATATTATAAATTCAAATTGTTAGTTAAATATTTCTATTAACGGCTCTATGTATATGAGCTAGTGCATTCATTCATTCGAGGGAATGAATGTTTGAATATTTGTAGTGCATGTTTCACTCTTTGCACCGTAACACTATCAAGTAGCTGTTGTTTTATATTCATGCTTTTCTGTATAACATTCGTTTAAATACTATGAAACAAATACATTTAAAATGAGTGAATCCAGAATGTATGAAATCTAGAGCAACTCTATGGTCCGTTTACGAATGCATTTTCAATTACAATTTTATTTTAATGGAAACTCCTTGTACATATAGTTAAAATATTTATGAACAACTTATTTATTTTTACTCAGTTAAATGTTTTTGTTTTACAAGAACAATAAATTTTAACATGATTTACGAGGGTCACTATATATATGTTGAGCCTAATAATGAAAAAATATGAAAAATAATGAAAAAAAACTTGTTGAAAATTGCTTTATTGTTCCTCGAAATATTCTCCTTTTTGAATAATACAATTTTGCATGTGTTCGAATCATTTGTCAAAGCATTTTTTCAATCTTCATCAGACACCTCTAAAACATGGTTTTTAAATGCAACAACTTCTTCTTCCGCCGACAAGAATCGTTGTCCCCGCAATTTATTCCTAACGGTCGGGAACAAAAAGAAGTAATTGGGTGCCAAATTAGGACCGTATGTAAATCAGGCGGATCCATCAATTCGATTTTTTGAATGTTCAAATAGTAGATTGTTAGATGAGATGTGTGAGCACTCGCATTGCCTTGATGGAGATTGAGAATGATCCGACGGTGCTTGTTTGTTTTCCGTGTTTCACTGAAGACTTCTGGTAAATAAATAGTTCTATACCATTCGAAATTGACCGTTTTACGAGTACGTTTCTGTAATGGTATAGTTGCCACATGACCAGTTTTCCCGATAAAACAAGCGACCATTTGTTTCGAAGAATTTCGAGCACAAACTTTTGTTGGAGTCGACTGCTGTTTACGTCCCGGCTCGTACGCAGTTACTCGTATCTATGCTACGTCACCTGTTAAAATATTAAATACTTCTTTTGAAGCAACGCCATTGTACTTCTTGAGCATTTGTGTGCACCCCACCAATCGACGCGAGCATCTTTTTGAGATTTTGTCAAATGATTGGGGATGGGGATCCAACGAGAACAAACCTTTCTCACGGCTAAATGATCGTGCAATATTTTATATATGCTGGTGGAATTAATGCCTTGGGTTCCCTCAATTTCACAATATGTCGCATGGCAATCATACAACATCAGTTTTTGCACGGCATCAATGTTTTCTGACACAACAACTAAACAACTGATTTTGGAAGACCTTCACGAATTTCGTTAATTTACAAATCACTATAAATAACAAAAATAACGATCTTTTAACAAAAAGTCTAAGGTAGGTTATGTTTAATAATGTCAAACTTTCGTATGGAAACGTCAGATGCTAAGGCTCAAAATATAAATAGTGACTCGCATTTTTCAATTAAAATTTTATATTTGTATGATACGATTTAATCTAACGATTTAAAATCTCTTAAAGTTTTTATAATTCATATTTATTGTTCTATATTCTTATAAATATGTTCATTAAATAACTATAAAAAGATATAATCCGTACATAATTTTTGTAATTATTGGCCTTAAAATTCGAAATGATTTACAATGTTTACTGCTAAAAACAATGTGATATCTGTGCTTGATATTTCGTCTAAGATATCAACTACTTTTTCCTCACCATTATTTATTTGTTATTAACTTGTTGTTTCAGTAAATCACTAGTTCTTTAAATAGGATTATATAAGTATAATAAAAAAAATATTATTCGACATACATAGGTAACGGAATAGTTATTGCTAAAATGAAAAATTTTAAGTCTGTTTTGTTTTATTTTCAGATCTCGGAACAAGATAAATTTTTGTTTTGAATACTCTTCAAACTTTGTTTAGCTCTAATAATTGTGCACTGAAATTATACAATATTCTTTGTGTAATGTAAAAATTGTTGAAGAATAATGTAGACAAACATTATAAAGATGTTTTCCTGTGTTATAGTATTGAAAAAAATATAAGAAAAGTGTAGGAAAAGGATATATGATTTCTTTAAAGCTTGTCTAAATAACAATAAATACAAAAATTTATAAAGAATTGAATCTTTTACCGTCTACTTAAAGTATCGAATGACTAAAATATTTTGCTAGAGATGTTGATAATAATCTCTGCATGGAGTATATCTTTGAGGTTTGCAAAAAAAATTTTAAGAAATATTTATTTTTATTAGGAGTGGTCCGTTTTGTGTTGGCATTATATGTCTTTCTAAAATTCCTTTTTATTTAACATTTTACTTAAACTATATGTAATTGCATATCAATGAAATATTTGAAAGTGAGGTACAGAAACTCTTGATATTATATATATATATATAAAAAATTTTAATGAAGTTTAATTATTTACCAATTAAGTTTAAATAATTTAATCTGATTCTCATTTATTTGTTTATATTCTTGTAATTATATATATAAGATGGTATAATAAGTTTCAGTAGTATATAATATGTACACTCCTTTAGGGGAGCCTGATATCACTAGATGGCGCGTCCCCGGGTGGCGGATAGGGGAATGTCTCTCAAAAATGGATGGTAAGAGGGAAATGAAATACCTCTCGCGAACCACACAGGTAGCGAAAGGAAAACCTTTTTGACAAACCAATCATTAGTAGCGTCTGACCTCAGAATGAGCGGCTACAAACAGCGTTTGATCCCTATGTTAAGGGCGGCTGAAACACGAATGGAAAACGTAAACCTTTCGGAAGGCACCGGGAAACCACCGAACTATATATATCCTTAGAAATATCGCATTTCAAAAAGAATATAAATAAAATGAGAAACAACATAGAACCACGACCTTCAGTCCCCGGCAATACGAGGGTGCTAAAAATCCCCGGAGGTAAAACAAATCATAAACTTAAGATTGGGACATGGAATGTGCGCAGTTTATACAAAACAGGTAAACAGGCCGAAATGAAACGTATGGAAATAGACATTTTAGGAATAAGCGAAACTTGGTGGCCTGATTCTGGCCAATTAATATCAAACGAATATAAGATTTTTTATTCGGGAAATAACACTCAACTGCATAGAAAAGGCGTGAGAATAATAATTTCGAAAAGAATGATTAACTCAGCTACTGAATTTGTACCGTACTCTGACAGAATAATATTACTTAAATTTAAAACTAAACCAATTAATCTAAATGTAATTCAAGTTTACGCACCAACCGCTATTATTATGGGAGATTTTAATTCAAAAGTTGGCAATCAGAAAACAGAAAATATAGTAGGGCCATATGGTCTTGGTAATAGAAATGATCGCGGAGACCGTCTGGTCAAGAAACAAAGTGTAAAATTATGAACAAATGGTACTGTCTATCTGCACGAAGATTGTATACTTAGAAGTCTCCCCAAGACAACTCGGCTCAGATAATTAGAAATCAGACAGATTACATTTTAGTCAATCAGCGTTTTAATACGTCCATTACAACGATAAGTATATATCCAGGAGCGGATGTAAATACTGACCATAATTTAATACTTGCTCATATAAGAATAAAGCTTGCAAAAATCAGAAGAATAATGTATTTAATAGATTGAATCTAGAAAATCTTAAAGATGAAAACATAAGAAACGAATTATCATCGGAAGTTAATAGATGTGTACAAATTGCACAAGGTAATGAATCTGATGTCCAACACACAAACACTAGTTGGAATCAAGCAGTCATGACGATAAAAGAGGTTACCAAAGAAAAATTGGGTCTACAGAAATATAAACCCAAAAACCCGTGAATAACTGAAGAAATATTTGATCTAATGAATCAAAGAAGAAGGTTTAGGAATAAAAACCGGCAAGACTACAATCGCTTACATTGTATTATAAAAACTAAAATACAGCAGGCTAAAATATCATGGTTGAATTGCGAATTTTGTGAGACAGAAAAACTCCAAAGAGCTGATGACGATTTTAATGTTCATAAAAAACCAGAGTTCGGAATGTGGTGCACAAAATCGCACACTGCACTGTGCGAGTGGAAATTATTTTTAAAATATGCACACGCACATTTGTGGTGTTAAGAAAAAAAATGCACGCACTCAAATTTGTTGTGCGATTTTAAATTTCACATCGCACAAAGCGATGATTGTGCACACAGATTCGTGCACACACATTTGTGCTGTGTGACTGATTTTTAAAAATGTGCACAATCAGATGTGCGAGAAAATTTTATGCTCGCACCGCACTGTGCGACAAAAAATTCTCTTTGCACACGAGTGTGCTGCTCATATTACGTTTGCACAAATGTGCACAAATGTGCGACTGCACAAACGTGCACAAATGTGCACAAATGTGCGGTTGCACAAACGTGCACAAATGTACGATTTTGCGCTTGCACCCAAGGGTGGAAAAAAATTACAGGAACTTCACAATTTTGTTTGAAATAGAAAATATTATTTTGTTGCAAATTTTGAAAAAATTGATATTTGCGTTCGTTGGGATCGTAATTTATGTTAAAAATTGCATAAATTAACAAATATTTAAAATAATTATTTTTGTTAATTAATGTAAACTAAAAATTATAACTGTCTTAACCTTATTTGTATTTTAACTTAAAATATTAGTTTTTTGTATATTACTTTGAGCATTTTTAAATGCAAATATAGTAAGTGAACTTAAAGTATTTGTTTGGAAAGTTTTGCACCAGTTTAAAAAAAATAAAAACATATTTTAGGAAGATTTTTTTATGCCCAAAAAATATGAAAGATTAGGAAAATATTTTTTTTGAACAGGTAGCAGGTATTGGTATTGGTGTATTTGTTTAATAAATTTTGCAACAGTTTAAAAAAGATAATACGGGAGGGCCACAAATAGGTATTTTTCTTCTCCAGAAATATGTATTCACTTAGGTAGAGTATCTAACATTCATTAAAAAACGCGAAAGATTAAGAAAATATTTTCTTGAACAGGTAGCAGGATTTTAGCGCCCTTTCTACTGTGCTAAGTAAGCAGAGATATAATTTAAGTGAAAAAATTATTTCAGCAATGTTATTAATAAGATTAAATGAAAATTTATTTCAAAAAATATGTAATAAAAATTATATATTTTTTAATAAGAAATTAAAATATTAAATTATTAAATTATTTCAATAACTTTGTAAAATTTAAACTGTAATTAAAGATAAAAAATTAAGTGAAATCTAATAACAAAATTAATTTATGTTGTTGTAAAAAATATTTAATTTGCTTTTTATAACCTTACTAACGAATCTTAGTGTACAACTTACTATTAAATAAAATTTTATGAAGTAGTCCAAAATTGATATATTTAATTTTTTCAAAGTACGATCCGTAGAACCGATCCTCTTTACTTATAACATTTCGAAACAAATACTCTTTCTCTATTAAATTCATGTACCTATTGAATATAACAAAGTTTTCAAGTACATTGTGAAATTAACTTTATTCCCATATTTTAAATTAATAAACCTTAAAAAAATAAGCAATATAAGCAATAAATGTAAATCTAATAATAAATTCAAAATTAAAATATAAATACAAAATTATTTCTTCAATAAAATATTTCGCATTAAGACCAAAATTAATACAAATCAGTTTTCCGTACTATTTTGCTGCGATATTTGTCATAATATTGTGCGCTTTTAAATCATCATTTCACACAAATGTGCAGTAGACATTTCGTCTCCGCACATTTGGGTGCATTTTTATTTTCGAGTCTGCACACAAAATGTGCTCCTCGTATTCTTTTCTGCACACGTTGTGTGCGAGAGCAAGCTGGCTGCCGCACACACAATGTGCTGTGCGAAATAACTTCGGCACAAACACCGAATGCGTGTGCGAGTTTTATTTCACTCCACCACACTCGTGTGAAATGTGCGTTTCGTTTGTGCACACAAGATGTGCACTTAAGATGTGCACAAAAATTTTCGCACACCACATTTGTGGTGTGAAATTTTAGAATCGCACAACATTTGTGCGTGGTGTTTTGCATTTTTGTGCACAGCACAGTGTTTTTCTGAACCCTGTAAAAAACTCAAAGAAGCAAGAAGCAATATCATGCTTCATACATGATAGACAAGCAAAACAGAAAAATAAGCTCAGCGCCTGAACTTTCACTTATGTAGAACAAATATATTGAACAGCTGTTTTCTGATAGCACAAGAGAACCAATACATAATATAAGAAATTTAACAAGTATGTCTGAACCAAAGATAAACAAATCAGAGATCTTAAAGATCTTAAATAAAATCTTTAAAAAATAATAAAGCTGCTGTACCCGATAATCTCCCTGCGTAAATAATAAAATTGCTTGAAGATGAAAGTATCGAATATTTAGAAAAGATACTCAATAATATATACAACACTGGTATATACCCAGATGACTGGCTGCAATCGACGTTAATAGCGATATCCAAAAGGAAAAATGCCAGAAAATGTGATGAGTTACGGTTAATAAGCCTAATGAACCACAGTCTCAAATTATTTCTTAAAATACTACACGCAAGGATATACAAAAAATGTGAAACGGTAATGGGTTGTACACAATTTGGAGATTTAGAGATGCTATGGAAACACGAGAAGCTATATTCTGCCTGCAAGTTCTGGTTCAAAACTGCAAAGATGTGAAAAAAGATGTTTATATGTGCTTCATAGACTACGAGAAAGCATTTGATAAAGTAAAACATCAAAAACTAATTGAAATACTCAGAAGTATTGACATTGACGAGAAAGATATTCAGTGTATTTAAAATCTGTATTGAAATCAGACGGCAAGCGTCCGTTTTGGTGACGCAATAACAGACCAAATACCAATAAAAAGAAATGTGAGACAGTGGTGTATACTATCACCACTTCTATTTAATATATATGCAGAAAGAATATTTGACGAGGCTTTTCAAAACTGTAACGACAAAGGTATCAAGATAAACGGCCAATATATTTATAATATAAGATACGTTGATGATACCACGATAATAGCGGACAATATTCATGACTTACAGGAGCTCATAACATCTTTACGTGAAAAAAGCAAAATGTATGACTTAAATATAAACATAAAAAAGACAAAATTTATGGTAGTCAGGAGGAAGCAAAGCATGACCCCACTGTGAGAATTGTAATTGATAATTAGAATATTGAGCGTGTTTCAACATTTAAGTATCTGGGATGTTCCTTGAATGAAATTTGGGACCCAGATCAAGAAATTAAATGTAGATTGAAATGGCCAGAAGTAGTTTCATGCGGTACAAAAATATATTAAACAATCCAGAATTTAGTCTACTGCTTAGAATGAGATATATGAAATGTTAGCTATGGTCAGTCTTACTTTATAAAGTAGAAACGTGGACTCTTAAAACAACTGCAATGAATAAATTAGAGGCTTTCGAAATGTGGTGTTATCGCCATCTATTGAAAATACCTTGGACTGATAGAGTTACCAATGTAGAAGTGTTCAGAAGAATGCAGCAAGAAAGAGAACTGCTTAAAACCATGAAAAAAAGGAAAGTACTTGTGACACATAATACGTGCACCCAAAAATGAAGTATTGCAACTTATACTTCAAGACCGTATAGAAGGTCGCAGAGGCGTTGGGCGGAAATAACTCTCATGGTTACGGAACTTGAACCTGAACAAGACTTCGAACTATTGGCGAACTGATACACTCTGCGCGGTCGAGAGAACTTTACACAGCGATAGTAAACAACATATCGTGAAATGCTTTTTGAATCCTGTATAGATTGTAGTTTAGTTTCATTTAAAATGATGTAGTTAAATGCTAAAAGTTAAATGTTACCTGTTATGATTAATTATAAGTATTATTAAAGAAAAATTGTAGTGTTAAAAATTTAAATTGAAATTATGTACAAAAAAAACAAAAAAACTTATTGTCAATAAATGCGACCGCTGACACTCAAAGTGAGTAGGCAGTCTAAGAAGAAGAATATATATACTAATATAAAATATATATATATAATATATATACTAATACAAAATATATATATATAATTTATATACTAATATAATATATATATATATAATATGTATACTAATATAAAATATATATACTAATATAAAATATATATACTAATATAAAATAAATATACAGACATCCCCCCTATAACGCGGTAGGTTAGTACCGCGTTATATGGGTATTCCTATATACTCCTGATACACACGTGCAAAGGTACGCGAAGCTAATTATGAACTGTACAAATCCCCACGTTATATAGGGGAATGCCAGTGTTATACGGGGGATTGAAATCGCGTGATATGAAAACACGTTTTAAGGGTACCGCGTTAGAGGGGACATTACTGTATATACTATTTATACTAATATAAAATATATAAATATATAGTATGTAATTCATTTGTAATATAAGTATGTATAGTAGATAAAAAAGTTCTTTCTGTAAATAAATTAAAATTTTAAGATTTTATTTAATTTATTTCAAATGAAATTACTTTATGTACATAGGTATGTTGGATTAAAATACACATTAATAGCATACAAAAGTTTTTTAACTTATAATCGATGCGGAAAGTACGTATAAGTGCTAATGAAAAATATTTTCTTTTCTAATAGTAATACAATATATAAAAAATAAAAAACAATTCACAAGTAAATGCAATAAAAAGCAAATTTAATGCATAGAAATAAAATGAATAACAAACAACACATTAACATTATAATAAATGATTAATTTCATAACTTTAATAAAAACATTATAGAACGTAGTCTAACACTATGCAATATTAATATATAGACCTTTCGACAAATAATTTTTTATGGTTTTAGGGGATTTATGAAGCATTTACTGTATAATACACATACCTTGACACTGATAGCCTTGTTTACCAATTCCCCTGCAAAGGCAAAAAATTTCCGTAGCTTGTATATATAGTAAATGTATGTAATGTTTTTACGAATATGATAATATAAACTCAAAGTATGTATGCATTTAAATTTATGTAGTTGCGAATAACAATAGCTCAATCACCTCCTTACATTTGAATATAATTAATCCAAATTTAAACAAATATTAACCAAAGTATTTAAACCTTTAAAACGCAATAAATATAAATATTACTGTAATAAAATTAATGCTAAAACATATGTTAACTACAAAACAATTCCATTTTAAAATATATTCAAATATATAAAATTACCAAAACATAAACGTATACTAAAAAAAACCAAATATATACTATATTTTATCATAAATAAATATTAATTCCATGATTAAGTTAAGTATGATGATAATAAAATAAACATATTAAGCATATATAAGGAGATTTTTATTCATAAAATGAAAAGTTATTTTTTAAAATATAAATATATATATATATAAATATATATATTATATATAAATATATATAAATATATATATATATATATATATATATATATATATAAATAAATAAATAAATATATATATGTGTTTATACATATATACATTGATCTTACCAAATAAATTCTCGACAATGTGAACAAAAAGTTGGTTGACGCAAAAATGTGGCCATAAATTTGTGACCATTGACCTAATCGAATAAGAGGAAAAAACATTAACATTTTATTAAATATATATAAACGGTAATAAAAATATATGTATGCACCTGATGCACACGTCGTCGCATTGCTCCACGGCGTCTATTAAAACCAGCCCGTTCCTTAAACTCTTTGTTAACAGTGATTGCATGCTCCACTTCGTCAATTGCCTTAGTTTGATCTAAATGTAAAGTACATACGTTTTAAATGTAATTATTGAGACATTCAAAAACTTTTGATAAACAAACCATTTCGATTTTTTAATTCAATTACAACATGTATTTTTCCTTGTGGTTCCAAATTAATCTGAAATAATATTAGTTAAAGATAGGAACATATATTTTTTAAGTAAATGTTATGTCTACCCATAAATCTGGCATTCCAGTTTCGTTTTGCATAATGTCTTCAAATGGTATTATACAATTAGCAACAAAGTCATCCGGTGGTAGCGCCGCATCATGAAAAACTGTTAAATTTATATTTTTTGCATTAGTGACATCATGTACAAATTGTTCATTCCAAACGGGATCGAAAGTTTTTGGACGTGTTGTTGATCGATCTAAAAAGTGAAATCGTAATTTTAGTAAGTGAAAAATTCATATGAAAACATTTGCACTACTTACCAAAATGACTGTCATCCACATCTATGGAGACATATGGATCAATTAATTGATCATCAGCTAATTTTCCAAATGTTAAATTATGCCGTTTTTGAAAGTCTGTTGGGCGCAAACCACTTGCTTCACAAACTTTAATTTGTAATTTTCCCGTAAACATATTTAATATATTACACAAATATGAATGTTTTCCTAATAATACAAAAAATATTCATATTTAGAATATGAATCAAATTAAAACCTACATATTTATTTAAGAATTTCAATATAAATAAATAAATAATTGAAATTTTTTTTATTTTATCGCAATATAACATTTTGTGAAGAATTTAATTTTTCATTTATGCATAATAAGATAGACATATACAAATAATTCGTTTTTTACTAGTCTAGACAGAACTGTACAAAAATATAAGTAAAAAGTACTTAATATGAAGAACTATATTGTGAAAACTAATTTGTTACAGTAATACATTTTTGACATTTTCTATTGCTTTCTCAAGTTTTACTTTATTATTTCGCATATATTACCTTGTAATAAATAATAATAAATAAATGATGGTAAATAAATGATAATTAAATCAATCCAGCAATTCTAATGTTTTAATATTTTTAAACTGCGTCACTTTATAATGTAAAATTATTAAATAAGCTGTTATACTTAAATAAATTTTGTGTGGTCAACCAAGAGTTGCCATCACTAAGTTAACAACTGTATACAATGATATGCAACCCAGAATACTATGGGATAATGCATGAATCTCAGTACACATAATATAGACATTTTGTTGGGAAGCGTTTTAGAATAATGATCATTTTACAGTATGTATTATTTGATTTCCAGTTATATGCACATATATATGTGTCATTATATATATAGTATAGTATGTATATAGTAGAATATATACATATATGTATATATGTACGCGTAAATGAATTATGTATTTTTTTATTGAAATGTTTTTTATTTATTTTCAATTGAATTAAATATATTGCACTTCTACTTTGAATAAATTAAGGTACTCATAAAGGTTAGTTGGTTGGAAACTCACTGATGTGTATTTATATGAGAATTGTGTAACTTCACTATTTGCCCGAATTGTGGTTCCTCCACTTTTGACGTTTTTCACGCTTCTTTTTAATGTTGGTATATTAGAAAAGAATAAAAAGTAAAATCGGGAATAGTACTACAATTTTTTTAAATGCGAAAAATTTTTATTTAATATTTATTCTAATTTTAACTGCTTATTTTAATTCACTTTTTGTATACGCCTGCTTAATTTGTTTTGAATGATGAGTAAACACCCTAACCTTCAGAATTAATTGAAATAATTTTTCACAATGCTATTTTTCTTGTTTGGATTTTAAATATATTAAATTTTGTTGGTAACTGAATATTTATAACAAATTGTTTATTAAGTATATATTAGATCATTTCGTTATACTTTCAAGTTAAAAAATATGCACTAAATGCACGGATTAGAAATTTTTTCTTGAAGAAAATTTTACACTTTCGTTATAGATTTATTTGTCTAATTGGACTGCTTTCTATTTCTCTTCTTCAATAACCATTGTTGTATTTCTTTAGAACATAAAAAGTGTAACTGGTATTCTAGTAAAATAGTATTTAATAAGTACTTAATTAGTAATATTTTCAATGTTGCATGATTTGAACAAAAATTCCTATTGAATTTAATAAAATATATTTATATATATATTTAAAAAGCATAAACTTTATTTTTAATTGTATAATCAATTAAAATATTTTTATTTTTTTTTTACATTATATTGTAGCATTAAATTTTATACTAGTGCTGCGACTAATATATAACAAATTTTATGTACTAAAATTTTTTATAACAATTATTTTTATATTAATGTATTTTTATTCGATTAACTTTACGCGAATCATAGCCTTTCCAAATTTCTTTAAGTCCCATTTCGGGATTTCCCAATTCGATGTCGATCGTTCACGTTTTTAATAAAAATCTTGATTAGTAAATACTTCGTTAGTTCCATATGAGATCTTTTTTAACGACTGTCATTTATTAAATTCGATTTTTGTTTCTTGCACAAATACTCTTCCACAAATTCGTTTTAGCAACCATATCTTAAATATTAATAAAAACTTAATATTCTTATTTTATTTTACTTAGTACATATAATATAAGATGTTAATATAAATTTTAAATAAACTGTATAATTAATTTTGTATTGCGACCTGTATATCAAAAAAAATTTTTTTTTACCAAGCTAAAGGTTGGTTATTTAACAATTAAATGTTAATAGGAAAAAAATAAAAACCATTTATTACATAATTATTTCAGTCTACTTCGTAGACCATCTTCAGTGGCCATTATAAAAAAGGATTATAAACATAAAAAAACAAAAAGTTTGACTATTTAATCAATTTTAAATAAAGCTTAAAAATATCATAAGTGTTTTGTTTTAACAATTTAAGTGTTGTGTTAATTTTTAATTTTTGAAATTGCACCAAAAATAAACGAATTGCACATGAAGCAGTGAAAAAATAAATAATTATGTACCTATTTACACATATATTATTTAATATATTTTATTTATTATTTAATTTTCAGATATTTATGATGGAATTCGTGAACTTAAAAACAAAACGCAAGAAACATTTAATAAAAAGCTTTGGCCCACAGAACGCTGATAACATCCTATAAATTAAAACAATGGACTCACTTTTTTTGCAATTATTAAACATCAACATATCTTGAGCAAAAAAACCGCAAAGTAACAAGTACGCGTATGTCCCTCGAAATTCCATATACGGAGTTATTTCCCCCATAAAAAGCTTACATAAATATTTCAATAAAACGCTTATCAGAATTTCGTAAACATTTTCTTTTGAAACGTAAATGATTCCGTGAAATAGTCCATTATTCAATTAATCCACACACCAAGGTTATATTAATTTAATTTTAATTTAAATTTCACAACGGCTAAATACTTTTTTGCTGTAGTATCTGCTTTTAAATTTCAAATTTAAATCATATTTCCAACAGCTGATATTTGTTTACAATTTTTGTTTTTTATATTGACATTTCAATGCATTTCAGCATTATCCATATCGCCGGATAAATTTACGCGAAGAGATTGTGTTAGCAGAATCGCACGATCGCTTATTCTCCTAAAATAAACGAATCGCTTATTTAAGAATTTTAGCGAAGATATTGGAGTTTTAGCGATAGCGATTAGTGGAATCGGCCTGCCGGGCAGTTAACAGCAGATGATCTAAGTTTCTTTGCATCCACCATTGCCTACAAGCATCGCTGTGAATTAGGTTTACTTTGTGAGCATGTGATGCGACCAGACTGTGACCTGTAAATACACCAATTAATATTATACAGTTCCTTCGGCTAGACCATATAACATCCTTGGTGTATTTTACCTCGTATATGTGTCTACATATGATCCTAGCTATTCTACAGGTGGTTAAGTTTCGCCATCTTTCCTTTGCTCTCCTCGTCATGTGCTCGTCGAAAAGTTTATGTATTTGTTTTAGAGGTCTGAGTACTTCGCTCGTTTGTTCATCTGAAAGTTTTGAATCATTTCTAGCAATGACATCAACTGTCTCATTTCCCTCTATGCCTTTATGACGAGGAATCCAGTACATACAAAATCTGCGGTTGCAGGCTAGTCTGGTTATAGCTTCCTTGCATTCTAGAACATTTTTGGATGATGACCAGTATGATTTGATTGCCTTAATGGCTGCTTGGCTATCCACATAGAAATTTATGCAGTAGTTTCTCGTTTCATCCACACACACGAGCTCCGCTGCTTTTATAACGCTGCAGCAGTCGGGAAGTATAAACAGCATTCCTATACTCAATTGCCAGTTCCTTCTCCTGCTTCTATCTTTAAACCGTCTGTGAAAACATTTATGGTGTTGCATTTTGGTACCATGTCTTTTTTCCATCCTTCGGTTTTGATCACAGTTCTTATCGTTTCTCCATCATATATGATCGGGATCATATAATCCGAATCGAGAGTGGCGTTCTGATTTACAACGCCCGAGGCATCCTTTATAGGTAGTTATTAGCCATGATTTTATTGAGTTCGTATCATAGCTCAAAATTGTTCAAAAATTGTTCAATGACCCTGATAAGATTATAAAGGCTATATTTAAGAAACTAGTGAAGAATATTAACAGTTTTTATAAAAAATCTTAAAATTATTACTAAACTACAAACAAAATAATTATTTGTCGATAGTAATATGTTGATATACGTTACCGGCACATGCCAAGAGCAAAGACCTGTATTTTATATTGGTCACACACTTGCCATGTGAAGAAGCGCAAAAGAAAAGAAATTTGATTCTTTTGTTTTGGCCAAATGAAATTCGTAAAGTGCATTAACTTGCATTGGAAAAATTTATTAATATTATATAATGATAAATAAATTTTATTAATATTTTTTACAATAAATTTTATTATAAAAAAAAAAGTTATATCAATGTATTTTAAAATCGACGCTCTACCCTTTTCACGTCCGTCCACAGCACTCACTCTCTCCAACTAATTACCATCAAAAACTAGCAGCGTTGCCAGTTTTTTCGTTTATTCATTTTACTGCCCGCCGCCAATTGCCACATAAATATTAAATATGCTTTACCAAAAGCTCTCAAACATTTTCTGCTATTAAATTGTGTTGGTGGAGGAGAAAAGATTCATATTTACATTTACACGACATTCACATTTAGAGAAATATAAGCAAAAATTCTCGCTGTTTAAATATCGAGAACACAATTTAGCAATATAATAAAACATAAAGCACGGTGCAGACCAAAGAAGATAAAGAAAAGAAACTGAAAGTTACTCGAAAAATTGTGTATAAATTTTTCTGGATTATTCAAAAAATATTCAAAAATTTTGTGTAATGAGGTGAAAATATTACGCAGTACAATAACAAAAAGCCTAATGCTACATAATGGCGCGTGAATATTTTCCCCACCCGGACCCTGCTACTTTGCCCACCCGGTCCCTACTCACCACGATATTTGCTAAAGTAAGAGAGGTTTCTGAGAAATTTCGTTGTTTGTTTTGGTTTTTTGACATTAAAAATTCGTTACGAGAAAATGCGCTAAAGTTGCAATCAAAGAATACTTTTACAAGAACGGAAACTCCGCCCACTTCCATCGAAACGAAGAGAAATTTATTACACTTTGGCACACGTATGGAATACATGTGATTTTACCACGATAACATCAAATTACTCTCTTTTGGGGTTGCAGTATATTAATTTCTTACTACTTGCTTATCATATGCTTTCCTTTTAATAATATAAAAAAGTTGTGCGTACCTTATTTGGTTAATAATATCACATCACTTAAACAAAATATATATTGTAACAACATAAATATATGATAAATAAATATATAAATTAATATATAAACACTTATATCAGTCAATTTTAATCAGTTTAGTTTGCTTAATAATTTAATATGTATTCAGCAAATTCATAATTTTAATTAATTTTTTCATATAAATTTTAAAGTATTTTGATTTATTATGTTCGGCAACAAACTTTTGTAGAAGAGAATTTTTTTATAAAATAAAAAAAACAGTATTGAATATATCTTATTTAATGATTTATATTTTCTTAAATATTTTTTGAGCGTATAAAACCATAATTTCTAATATAATATTGAAATAATATCATTAAATGCTGTTATGATGTGTAATTAATAATAAAAACCGAAGCTACTTCCAATTTACTTTTTTAAACGGCAACACTCAAGTGGTGAATGATGAATTATATTTCTCTGCATTGGCAAATTTTTCAAATTTAGTGCTGAAAAATCTATTGATGGGGGAGGGTGTACGTGCATTCGCTGTAAATTTATGTGATGAATGTACGTATTTTTAATTTGCATGCATTTCTAACTGATCAGTAGCGATGAATCTGTTGATGGGTGAGGATGTACGCGCATTCGCATCAAATGTATGATGTGAATGATGCGTATTATTCGTTTACATACATTACTGTATGATTAGATTTATATGAATTTTTTAAGTAGAAATATTTTTATATGCAATTTAGTAAAAAAGTATTTTATAAATATTGAAAAATTTTTAATATACCATCATATTTATAAAATATATTTATTAATAAATATTAAAGTATTTAAGAATATTAGCTAGGTTTAATTAAAAGAAGTACAAGTTGTACTCATAATTTATTATTTTTAAGAATTG